CTCATTTAGCAGGAGAAATCTCAGCCCAGCATCCCGCAGCCTATCCTAATTCCCGAGGAACAGCCAGGACTCAAAGACATCACCTAGGAACACATCCTGATCCCGGTGCCAGCTCGCAGGCAGCCAGAGCAGAGGCTGAATTTAGTACATCACAGGGCTTGGTGTGGATCTGACCGGGGGTTGTCCCCTTGAGGCCACCCAGGGCAGCCCGGAGCCACGAGCATCGCCTCTTTCCCTGCCAGGTGAACACAAAACGTGCCCAGCGCCCACGCTGCGGGCAGCTGCTCTCATTACGGATGCACAGGGCTGCTTCCCGGCTTCCAAGGCAGGACCGTGTAAAGGGATTTACAGACAGAGCCTGGAAGCTCCCAGGGGCCAGCGGAGGAGGGAGCATCCCCAGCACACTGCCCCTGGGCTCTCCTGCACAGCGCTGCCAGCCTTGGCCGGGGCCGTGGTCGGGACAGAAGGGTGCGGGGCCAGGGCCAAGTTCCCGGCTCCCAGGGCATTAATCAAAGTGACAAATACGCCTTGACATCAATTATGTTGCTTTCTTGTTCAGCCAAGAAGTAATTAACTTAAGTGAAGCAATTAGGTAAACTTATCAAGTGAGGTTAGCGGTACTTGAAGCAAACAGCTAATTGGGCTGTGAAGGGACCAGAGGGGGTGGCGCTGGCGATGAAAGGGGTCGGGGACAGGGATGGGGACAGGGACACCCCACCCAGAGGGGGATCGGGGCTGAGGTTGCCGTGGCTGCCAGCTCAAGGGCAGGTCCTGCAGGAAGCACATCCGAAGTGAAGCTTCCCCTCCCCTCCCTACCTCCGAAACACCCTGCGCAGCACATGCCAAGAGCGAGTCACGCCCCAGCCCCAGCCCCCTGTCCTTTCTGCTCATCTCAGGACACAGACAAGAGGAAAAGACACAGCCTCAGGGGCCTCCTAAGAGCTGGTGGAAGGAATAAAGCGATCGATGGGGAACCCCACTGTGTGCAAGAGATTCACACAAACAGGCCCTCAGAGCGTTTGCCAATAATAGCGGATGAGGCAGAGGAGGGGGACGGGCACTCGGTGCTGCCGAACTCCCTGCAGTGACAGCGATGCTGCCAAACCTGCCTGGCCCACCTCATTCCTGCCCTCCTGCCCCCAGGGAGAAAGGTTTGGGATGGGATGCTCAGGGGATGCTCCAGGAGCTGGCACATCGTGTTGCACGGGGTGGCGTGGAGAAGAGGGAGAGGGGCTGGGGAAGGAGCTCCCGCAGCCCAGATATGCCCCCCGAGGAGCCCCTCCTCTGAGCGAGGACGAAGGACCCATCTCATTACCAGAGATAAAACTCTGCAAAGCTGCATCAAGACTGACAGAGGGTCAGCGTGGCCGTGCCAAGCTCCAGCCCCCTGTCATGCGTGGAGACGGATGCCGTCCCCTCCAGGCCCAGTGCCACCACCTCGGGCAGCGGGTGCATCCACGAGCCAGGCTGGGTTGCAGTCACTTTTAGAAGACTTTCATACTTTTTATTTCTTTTCCTTTTTATTTTTTTTTCTTTTCACGGTGAATCTAGCTCATTTTCCTATCTTTCAAGCCAACGAACTACCACATTTTGAGATGTAATTTCCAGATTTCAGCAGAATACACGGCACAAGCTGCTTTTAAAGTTTGCTAAGGTGTCGAATCAAAACGCAATACTATAAATGATTAATGCACTCCTGTGTCGCAATGAAGCTGGAATATTTTAATTACCGAATAACGAAGTCAACACTCACAAATCTCAGCTGTCATTAAAGAATCTGCGTGGCTCCGTGTGCCCGGTGGGAGAGGAAATCTTGCAAACGGACAGGATTCGCTCACCAGAGGTGCAGCCAGGAGCACCACGGTGGTGGCAGGGCGTGAGGCTTTGCAGCCCTGATTTGTGCTGGGCAGTGAGTCCCGTGTGGGATCTGTTCTTTCAGCAGGGTGACTGCTAAAGGAAATACATTCAAGCTGCCCCAGCTGGGTAGAAATAATGGTGGCCTGAGCCCATTACAGATCAGACTTCCACGAACACCCAGGTGAATACCATTGCCACCGTGACAGCTTCCTCCAGCCCCAGTAAGGACAGACTGGAGCTACCTCGGAGTGGGAACTGCCTGTGTATGAGGCCAGATTGGAGCTGGAGAGACCCTGGAGACAGCAGCGTGGAGCAAGTTGGAAAGGGCAACTCTGGAAGACGGTGAACAGAAGGCAGAAGGGTAAAGTTAAAGCAACCTCGTGTGTGCTGGGACGTGCCTGCAGGCAGCAATAGGCACCGTGTCTCCCACACAGATGGAGCATGTGGCTTGGAGTCACAGTGACAACACCGAGGGAAGGGTGGTTGGCCCTGCCAGGGGAAAGGGGGACAGGCATCAAGCTTTATGGAATATAAACGGCTTCCTTGACGAAAGGAGAGCCCTGCAATGACAGCAGCAGGCTGGCAAACAGCCCCAGCAGGACAGGTGGGGGACACAAGGAGCAGGCGTCACCCTCTGTGCCAGGGAGCCCCTGGGGTGCACGGAGCTCTGCCTGGGGATGGGCGAGGGGCTGAGAGTTTTGTGTTTGGTCAGGGTTACAGCGAGAGCCGGGACAGGGGACATTATATTGGGGGTGTGCTGCAGGCCCCCCGATCAAAAAGATGAAGCAGGTGAGGCCGTCTATGGACAGATAGAAGCAGCCTCACCTCCACAAGGCCTGGTCCTCATGGGGGACTTCAAGCACCACTGTTGGAGGAAGAAGAGAAAGACAAAAACACCATGAGGCCTGCAGGGAAGGACAAGATGCTCCTGGACAAACTCAGACAGAAAAAAAGGAGGCCTACAGATGGTGGAAGCAAGGACACGTAGTCTAGGAGGAACATAGAGACATTGCCCAAGCAGACAGAGAGCAGGTTAGGAAAGCCAAAGCCCTTTTAGAATTAAATTTGGCCAGAGACATCAAGGTCAAACAGAAAGGTTCCTGTAGGAGCGTCAGTGATGAAAGGAAGACTAGGGAAATTGTGGGCCCTCTCCAGAAGGAAACAGGAGACCAGGTCACCTGGATGAGGTGAAGGCAAAGGCAGGGAAACGTTCACCTAAATGCTGAGGGGGGTGCAGTGCCCTGAGAGGAATTCTTTCCCCATCAGGCTGTTACAAGAAATGTTTGAGTGCCTGCCACAGGATTATCACCTTTGGAGCACGAGACTAGTTGCTTCTGAAGAGAAGACCCTAGGCGAGCCAGACCAGCATGGCAAATCCTGTTTCCTCATTGATTTTCTTGAAGGACACCCGGGAAAAAGCTGGATGTATGTATTCATTTGAGCAAGGGATATCAGAGACTCGTGCAGCGAGATTATAAGTGACACTAAAGGTTGTTCTCTCCTAAACCTCTCTTTTCAGGCGTTCACAACTTCAAAAAAAAAATAAAAAATTGTGCTGGAGATGTCTTGGGCTTCAACACACACTAAAGGTTTTGGGGGAAAACTAAACCTGAGACAAAATCTCTGTGGATGTGTTCTGCATTATTTGAGCTTACCAAAAAAAGAAAAAAAAAAAAGAAAAAAAAGAAAAAAAAAGCAGGGAGAAAGTGGTCCTTGGTAATAGTTTGTCATAATCCTCTTCTTCTATTGTGCTGCCCACCTTGAGGACACCTTGTCTGCAGTACGAGAGGAAGCAGAAAGGCAACGGTGGGGAGTGAAACCAGACAAATTCAGGCACTTGGACATGCAGGGAGAGATCATTGCCGGGGGAACCTCCTGAGGCAGGGGGAAAAAAGGGCTCTTCAACTCCTGGCATCCACAGCCAAGAAGCCACCAGGAAGGCGGCAGCCCCGTGGCTGCATCCTGCACCTACCTGGCCACGCAGGGACATTACTGCCAAATGGGAGAGTGCAGGACCCTCATCCACCTTGTTGCTTCCCAGAGCCGCCCCAAGATGCTCAAAATAATATCTCAGGCGTCTGCAATCCTCCAGGTGCTGAATCATCCGTCTGCAGTGCTTGCATTAGGCATGCAGGAGAGGTAGAGTTGTTTGCGGCGAGAAGTGGGGAGGGTGGCAGGGGTGGGAGGCGAGTGCCGACACACGACCAACAAGAAGTGTCAGCAGCAAGGCTCTCGTTGTGCCACTGCCCCGCTGGCCTTTCAAGGACTGGGGGGAGAAGGGGACAGAGCCTGCCAAAGCTTGGCAGTCGTGTGTGTATCCTAAAGGGTTTCGGGCAAAAGAAAGCTTGGATGCTCAGCAGGGCTGACAGTTTGGTTTCCTCAGCCTGTAAGGAAGTCAGCGTGAACCCCAAAAACAAGTCCTACCTGTCCTCATCCTCCTGTACTGCTGAAGCAGACCCAAGCCAATTACACAAAGCTCCTGGCATCCTACAACCCATCACCCGGTCCCCAGTGCCATCAGCTGCACGGCGCTGCTGTTCTCTGCTAAAAAGGAAAAGCCCTCTCCTACCACTGAGGAGAAATGGATGAGTGAGAATGGTTTATTTATTTGGGCTTCCAATAAAACTTTGACAGCATCCTGCACCAGGGGATATGAAATCATACAACCCACTCTGGTTATGCACAAGGACACCAGAACTTTTGTGTGTTTAATAGGTCTACTGAGATGTGGCAGATAGCAGAGGATTATCTGGGTTAGTCGATGAGAGAGGCTGTGAGGAGCTGCAGAGGGATTTCACTGCCAACAGAAACCGGTTTCCCTGCAAGGGAAACGTGGTGTTGATAAATGGAAGTTCATGCATGCCACAGGGATCGTCTGACCTACTCCTGTGTATCACCGAACTCGCTACGATCCATAACCATGCTGGAAGAAGCCCTACCTGTCACTGGACAGCTCAGTCACAGCAGCTGCTGAATGCTGAGGGACAAAACAAACACCATAAGGTTTGATGTGCAATGGGATAAACGAATGTAGTATTATTACTGCATTAAGTATCAGCTGATGGAGCCCCACTCCAAATTCTCTCTTGATGTGGCCTCTGGACTGGAAAAAAAAGAGCAAGCAGCACAAGTTGGGTCCAGGGAACTGTCCATACATTTTTAATTGCCAAAGGATCCTTCCAGATATCCCACCCACCTTCCACCTGGCTCACAGCCTTCCCTGCAACCCTTCCAGAAGGCCGGAATGGGAGTTATTTATCAGCAGCCAGAGACCTTCCAGATGTGCACCTGGGTGCAGTCTCTCCACACAGCAAAACCCTGCGTGGGGCTGAGCGTGTACCACAGACCCACCCCAACCAACCCTCCCCAGTCACAAGAGACTCTGGGCTTAGTGGGAAAAGGTCAGGGAAGCACAGAGAACACCACAAGCACACATCCTGCCTGGACCAGGCTTCCCATACACTGCAGGGCCCTAGGTATCCCTGACCCAGCGGATGACACAAATATTGTCCAGCAAACTTGACCCCCAGCTCCCCAAAAACAAGATAGGGATCGACTGCTCCTGTTAGACTTGAAAAGGTCACTGCCTAGATTGCCCTCGGTGCTGGGCATCTCAAGGATGTTCAAGAGGGGAAGGGAAATAACGCAAACCCAAGCACCTGTGCTCCATGCAGATGCACCTTTACTGGCACTGATGCCCCTCAGTGCTTTTGCTGGGCTACAGGTCATGTTCCCCTGGCACAGGGAGGTGAAAGCTTCCACCCGGTCACTCCTCAGCCATGCCCAGCAGTTAGAGCTCCTTTGCTCTCAGACAAGAAGGCAGCTCTTGATTTCTGCTTGTTGTTGTTGTCTGCACTGTCTCCAGTTTGTCGTTTGCTTGTCATACACTGCTGTGGGTGAGCAGCTGTACAGGAATGACATCCAGTCGCAGCGCTGCTCGGAGCAGGGGGCAGGAGTAAACACCTCCGTCTTCTGCCAAAAGCAGCTACTAATGCCCCCAGATGTCACTCACAGCTCCACGCCCCTCCTGTGATGACCAGCAGCCCTCAGGATGCTTTCAGACATCGCTTTCCTGACTGCAGTCCCCTCCCGTCTCCGTGCAGCCAGCTTCATCTCTTCCCAGACACACAGCCTGACATTTAGCGATGCTGAGATGCGCACAGCTCGACTGCGCCCACATGCTAGGCAATTTGGATCCCCACTGCTCCTTATTGCTCCTCCAGCCTCTCTCTCATCTGCTCACTTTTTCAGCAAGGACTTTGTGTTTCCTTGCAGGTCACAGAGAAACAGGTGCCGTCGTGCGGCTCATGGGTGCTTCCCGGCCCTGCTCCTGTTTGTGGATAAGTTAAATATAGCAACTTAACAGCAGGCTCTGCACAACAGCCGTGTGCCTCATATTAAATGGATTAAGAGATAGCTCACTTTATCAGGTTTGTTTAAATATGATTAGAAACCTGGACAGATTTCCTGCTTCGAGTAATCACAAATGGGGCTGGGAAGGCAAAGAGAAAGCTTCTGTTTGCACTCCCATCGTGTGCTGAAGACTGGCTGGAGAACTGATAAAAGGAATTCCTGTTTTAACAGAGGAAATTAGGACGCACTGCAACTTACCGCACCATAGAGCAGACCGTGTTGAGGGATTAGATGCATTAACTGGTGCTGGAGAGGCGACGGAGCCCTCTCCATTAACCAGCCAACCCTTGCCATTACCAAAGGTTGCTGAGCCCATCTCCTGGGGAAGCGCTTTGGCTCCTGCTTTCTGCAGCAAACCACGGATATTCGGGAGAGGGAATTCCCTCGGGCTGCCGGAGCGTCTTGTCTTTGCCCTGTGAATTGCAGCTCAGCATTTGCTGAGCTGGAACCCGTTAAAAATACTGTTTTCCCTTTTCAGCTTTGAATTCGTCGGGGGACACGCTGGCAGCCCGCCAGGCTGATAATGAAATCTGCCAAAACATCAGCATCAGCTGCGGTGCGGGGACTGGCAGGGCCTGCCTGCCGAGCAGGGCCAGCTGCAGGAGAGACAACCTGTGCCCAAGGCTTTCAGCCTGCTGCTGCCCTTTCCCTTCTCCTCTCCCCTGGGACACTGCCTGGGGTTGGAGAGGCTTCAGCGACGTCCAAGCAGGCTTCCTAAAAGCACAGGGCTCACTCCTTGCCCCCGCCACCTCCATCCCTTGCTCCCAGGCAGGGCAGCGGTATCTTTGTACATAATCATAGGTGGGTTGGATTAAAAGAAAATAATAATAATCCCAGAATACAGAATTTGCACGTGCTGGGTTAAGATAACACAGTGAGGCTGCACGTTACACTTTGCATTGAGAAACACCGAGTGAGGGCTGCAAAGGACCCTGCTGCACACCGTGGCACCCTGCCCTGTTCCCAAGGTTCCTCCCTGAACGGGACAGACACTGGGGCAGAATGAAAATTGCACAGAAAACAGACATTTCCTAACAGGCACAAGCTTCACCCTGCACCCTAAGTGGCACTAATTAACACAAGGAGACACACGAGCCCACCTCTCTCGGGCATGCACCAGCTGTTAACTGATCCGGTTCAGGAACCAGCTTCCTCCATGGGACGTTACCCTGCAGGTTTCTGTCACAAGCACTCTGCCTTTTTTTCCAAAAGCAGCTGGCACCTGCAAGAGTAGGACACAGCAAGGGACAGGACCGTCTCGTGCTCCAGCCTGACCTGGCAATAGGTTCTCTCCTTCCTGACAGAGAATGGCACAAGTCAATGCGTGAGATCCCACATGGGTCACCCAGCACCTGTGAGATCTGCAAAAATTACGTTGTCCCAAATGGGGATTTTGCCTTGCAATCAGCTGCTTCAGATGACACACGAAACGAGGCACTTCATTCCCTAAGTTTTTTTCTCACATAGAAAAAAGAATTTGCAGCATTAGGAGAAATCAGCAGTGACTGGTACCTTTGGCACCGCGCATACCAAGACCAGGCTGTGCCCTGGGAAACGTGCAGGACAAAGACGTCACTAACGCTGCACTTTGCTCTGACACGTGTATTTCACCAACCAAGAAGAAACTGGAAAGGGGAGAGGATCTGCCTTATCTCCTTGTAATGACAGAGCGGTGTCTGATGGTGTCCTTTACAGCTCTCCCTCAGTGTGTACTGCCAGCAGGACTCTGCTGGGGACACAGCCACCCAGGCTCTTGCAGGCAGATGTCTTCAGTTCCCTGGATGCCCCACAGGGCACTGGAGCTGCACTGCACCTCAGCTGGTGTCCCCAACCAGCACCAGGCCACCCACGGGTGCACAGCTCCTGGGGATTGGTGCAGGCAGCTCTCAAATCTGGGCCACGGACAGGAGAGATGGCCCTAAAACAGGAGACGTGAGCCTGAACGGCGCCCAGTGTGTGATTTTTGTTGCCTTACACGTCACCATGGCAAGGCTTGGTCAACAGGGACCAAACAAATCAAAACCAAAGTGCTCCATGTGCATGCTCTTCCCTAGCCAACTCCCTGTGCCTTATTAAGAGGGCTATAAAAAAGGTAACTCCCCACTAAGCCCTGCTAAACCTTTACTCTTCCTCCTTCATTTTTCAGCCACAAAAGGAGATCAACTGCACCAAGAGCTCCTTACAAATATTGGCTCCCAGATGAGGGCCAAGACATCTGCAAAGCAATGCCAGGGTCTGCTGTGAGCCCCCACCTATTTTCCATCCTCTGGGGGAGGAATAAAGATACCCTACGGTTCTGTGGGTTAAACATCCACACTGTCACACCTGTGCAAGAGTTCTGTAGCTGCAAGTCCCCATGGAGCCAGAAAATGGGGATCAGCTCCCACCTCTCCAATTTGTGGGACAAAATCCATCACATACCTTCCATACACACTTCTAGGCCTGCTTGTCTGTGCTGTCTTTGTCTCTGTGCTCAGCCTGAGCACTGTGCACAGCTCTTCCTACATCCCTGTGTCTGGACGGATGCGTGATGCTCTCCAGCAGCCTCCTCCCTGCTCTGCTGCTGGCTGCAGGGAGTGGGGGCTTCCCAGGCTTTTTCATCACTTCACCTCAGCATCACCTGTGTTTTGCTCTCTCCACAGGTGGGCACAGCCCAGGTTCAGGCTCTCCTTTAAGCAGTGATGTCCGGGGCTTGGTGCTGTGCTCTGCAGCCTGGCACCAGCTCAAGGTCTCTCCCTGCCTGCCAGCCCAGGGGCTGGGGCTGGCCCTCAGAGGAGCAGACTCACCTGGCCACTGGCACTACTCAAGACCTCGAGCACCATCTCCTGGTCACTCCTGGTTTCAGTGGCATGTTACCTTAACGCTTCCTCCATTTCACTGTCACTGCAAAGCCCTGGGGACAAACCATGCACACAGCTGAGGGAGAGAAAGGCTGCAGCACTTCGCAACATTTCAGCAGGGTCATATGGTTGCTGGCTCCCAAAAACCTGAAAAAAAAAAAAGATGCAAAGTTAGCTCCACCAAGCCCTGGTGCAGTCCCCATGGCAGGGGTGCTCCTTGCTGTTCACTCCTACTCTTCAAGCTGTAACAGGACCAACAAACTGCCTTGCTGGCATAAAAGCTCCTGCTTGTCCAGCTCTGCCTGGTGGCTGCGAGCAGCCAGCAGAAGATGCTGCTGGAAAACTCCAATCTGTTCACCTCCTGCACCCCTGGGGCTCTGGGCTGCGTGAGAAACCAGGCATTGCTCCCTGCAGGGTCTCGGGGTACAAGGATCACCGCTCAGTATGTAAATATTGCAATGGCAGAGTTCAACCTTTCGGCGTTAGGGAAAGGAAGATAAATGCTATCAGTCCCCTCTGAGCCACAGGAACCCTGCATCTATCTAATTGCACTTCATAATGGATTCAGCAAACCATTAATTATCAGATTATATTTTAGGAAACTGCAGATAAAAAGGCTTTATGAAATTTATTCTTAAAGGGCCCAGTGTGCTGCAACGAATTTGTTGCATCATCCTGGCACCAAAGAGGCAAGCTTTACTTCAGGTATCCGAATGCATTTTACAAAGCAATGTCCTGCTTTGTAAGTGTTTTACAAAGCAAAACAAGGGGCCCTGGCTTACAGGCACAGCTCCTTCTTCCTTGGATGTGGCAGCTTTGCCACCTCCTCCCTGAATTAGGGAAAGGGTGGAAGGTCTCAGGGCTGTTGTCTGAATGAGGATGTGGTTGCCCAGCCCATGCTCTGACCCTTTTTTGTAATACACAGTCACCTCTGAAGTGTGGATGAGATTAGACCTGCACTGCGCAAGGTGTTACCCATATGGCTGCAGAGACATTTAACCCAATTCCCAAAGAAGACTCCATTTAAGTAGAAAAGCCCAAACAGCATCTCTGCACTAGGGGACTTTTCCAGCTGGCTCAGTGGCAGCAAGATGGTAAAGGGGAGAGAAACAGACAAAACAAAGCAGCCCTTCCTTACTGGCATCTGTGAGAATATCACTGATTCAGCCATAAAATCTCCTTCTCTTCCACCCTAAATTCCTCAGGACAGCTTTTTCTTTGGTCTCACAAGCCCACCCTACCTCAACTTTATTCTAGGCTGCACTGGTCTCCTCCTTTCCACCCCGCTCAGGGCAGTGGAAGACCACACATGAAGAAAACCCATGTCCCATCTTCCTTCCTGCTGCTTTATTTCTCGTGAGCTGGGAAGGATGACTGGTCCCACTCACCCAAACCAGCAGCTGCTGACTGCAGGGACAGTGAGACTTCCCAGGTCCTTGTGAAGGTCTACAAACCTCTCCTGTCCTTGGCCATGCCGTGCTTGCTACATGCCATCCAGACTTGCTTTTCCACGGAAACTATGAATCTCCCAGCTAGAGCACCATCCTGAACTAATCCAGTGGATACCAGGTGCCACACGTGGGCACCCACTGCTCACTCTCCTTTGGTTTCTTCATGAATCAGACATCAAACAAGTCCTCCATAGTCGCTGTCACCAGCTCCGAGCCAGCTTGCCTCACCTGGGATTCGGGCAATGTCACAAAGACTTGGGAGACGGCAACCTGGGCTTCCAAAAGAGATGATGTGTTCTGCTGCTCCTTCCTCTGACGTCTGAATCACCTGTGTAGAAGACGAAATGGAGTGAGACACTTACAGCATCACTTTCTTTGCAGTCGCTTTGCTGCACACATCTTTCCTTCTTTCCTGGCCCTGTTCCGGCAATAACATTTAGCTTCACACCAGAGGACTGCAATTACAATAGGCGTGAGACTAATGGCAAACTCTAAGCTACACACACTAATGATGCAAAAGAGAAAACAGAAGAACAATTTAAATATTTCTCTCCACAAAATTGCTATAATTTAGCTCCACAAGCAGTCATAGACAATAAACACACGATGATTACACACTAGAGGAATGCCAGCCCAGGGGATCTTACACACTAGGCTCCCTCATCCAAGGAGCTATTCTCCACTGATGGCTGAGGTCTTAAGAGAGAGTCTGGGTTCAGACCTAGCATTTGGCCTCCAAGAAAACAGCTGTCATCTCATGGGGTGTGTCACCTGGCTTTTAACAGCCTCTGAGTAACCAGGCACCTCTGCACACAGTCAGTCCCTCTCCTTTGGCTCCCCAAAACCAGTTTATGAATGTGAGTTGCAGCCTGTGAAGAAGCATGGAGGTAAAGGAAGGGACACTGATGGCTGGCATTCAGCTGGGTTGGAGTCTTTGCCCTTCCCCACACAGACTGCAAGGCCTGCAGCAGCTGCATCAAGCTGCTTGCCTTCAGCACAGAGCACTCAAACCCTAAAGCACTCTGGGCTTAGGGGCTTGTGTACTGGTTCCTTCTAAGAAGGTGGAGTCAGGGAGCAAAAGTGGTGACAGGAAAAGTGGATTTGGGGAAGAACAAGAGGGTTGGAAGGGGTGGAGGGATGAATCCAGGGGGCTGCAGCACAGAGCAGTCCTTACCTGCACAATCTGGGCTGTGGTGGCTCAGGCCTCTGTGGTTTGATGCTGTGGGTAGGATTATTCCAAAGGAAATGTTGGAGTGGCTTCCAACACGCCACGGGCCACCGTGAATCCACCACGGGAACCTGTAAACGAGTTGGGTATCAGGGAGAAGGGACTCACATGATGCAGTGAGTCCCTGCTGGGTTTCAGCCCTGCACATCCTGGCCATTTGCAGCTCCCTGTGCCTTTGGGCTGACCCTGACCCTTGCACCCCAAGCTCAGAGCCCCCAGGTTCACTACTCGTACTGCTCAGCCTCTTTCTGCATCCCAGGAGCCCTGCAGCACCATGTCACTGCTGAGCAATTCGAGCAGCCCTGTGGGCTCTGCGGGGAACTCTTCACCTCCCAGGGTGAGCTGGAGGGGCACTACAGTGCTGAGCATCCCAAGGTGGCCACAGGTGGTTCTTCAGGGTGGAATTGGATGCAAATTTGGCCCCACACTCCTCGCAGGAGAAGGGCTTCTTGTCAAAATGCTCCATCAGCTTGTGGTACTGCATCCCTGGGGATATCAGGGCAGCACCAGTGCCCAGCACAGGAACCCAGGGACAGCTTCTGACAGCCAGGTGCCTCCCACAGCTTCATCCCAGCCCACCTGGGCACCACGAGCTGGCCACGAGGAGGGCAAAGAGACACAACGCCTCTTACTGGTCCTGCTGTGCCAGCCACAGAACTGGAACAGCTCAGTTATTTTTGGAGGCTTTTAAATTTGCCAGTAGCCCCACTTTTCCTTGATGAGCCAAGTGGAAAACCAATTAGGGAAGAACTAATCAGAAAGTAGTTGTGCTCAGTGGGGCAGGAGAAACAAGCTGAGCTGCATTTCCCTCACATGGCACTCTCAGAGCTGCAGAGGGGAAGAAATTTCAGACTATCACTTTATTATATTGTCCAGCCTTCTTCACAGCATGTGCACAGGGCCCTAGGACAAACCCCATTTTTCCCACCCTGCTATCACCAACCCTACCTGAGGCATGAGCAAACTCTCAGCCATAGATGCCACCTGTCAGAGGGAGACATCTCTTCTTCTTCTTGGCCATCCCCACCACTCCATGGACCACCAGCTGATGTTTCTCCAGCTCCTTCTTTGTAGATTTGACTTCAGTGCACTCCTTACACAGGATTTGCTTTCCTCTGGCCACCCAACAACATTTCATGTGCACCTTTAGGAGGCAGTAGAAGTGGAAGCTCTTATCACAAGCTTTGCAGATAAAAACTCTTCTTGGAAGAAACTTTCCCTCGTGGTTCCTTCGGTTCCTGGCCCGTCCTCTTCTTTGTCCAGAGCTTCAGCTTGGGGCTCACTGTTCACCTTCCACTTCCTGATCCCAGGTTCCTCTCTATTTCCTTCCATCAAGAGCCCTGTGTACAAAACAACTCCTGTTTCACTGTGACCAGCAGGACTGAACACCAGCCCCCTGGTTCCTCGTCTCCTGAATTCTCCCATGCAGGGAGTCACCCCTACACAGCAGGAATGGGCATGAATCAGTGGACACACTGAGACACCACAATGGCTTTGCCCAAAAGCAGTTCTGGCAATGCATGGTACAAGGCACAAAGAAGCAGTCCTTTAACTTTTCCACCCACACATACTAGGGGCTGGGTTAGGTGACAAGAGAAACATCCAGATTTTCCAAAGAGCTTGCTCCTCACTTGGTGAGGACTGGAGCAATTGTTGCTTCTAAGAGTCTGCCTCTTGCTCAAGCGTGTGAAGTTATGGCCATGCTTAAATGTTTGAACATCTGAGCCTCAGGGATGATGCTGTCTCACTAATTCTGCCATTGAGAGTGGATATCCAGCTATTAATTACAAGAAACCTCAGGAACACTTCCCAAACACAAACTCTTTGAAAGAGAACACAATCTTGCTACAACCTTTTTGAGTCTTCTGGTTAGGGCCCTGAGGTATTTTAAATGACTCATTACATTCACTTCTTACAAACTCTAACGCTTTTCTGAGTCCCTGTAACACCATCATCTCAAAAAGCAAAAGCTGGAAAACTCACCTAGGATCTCGGTCTACAGAAAAGACCCACAGGGAATACACATATGGAAGAAATCAAAATACAAACAGATATATTTGGCTTCTTTGTTATAATGAGAACCATGCATTGTGTGGCCATGGAAACCACTGCAGACTTCTTTTGCCAATGCACAGGAAATTCATCCTGTATTTGAAAAGCTTCATTTCTGCCTTCCTCACTACGGGAAGAGCTCAGACAAGTTTTCTCCCTGCATGGTGATACCGCCCCGAATTTCCAAGCAGCTAGAAGCTAGTTGACATAATTCCAATGCACACTGACTCAGAAATCTGAAGATGTCAAGTGGTGACCCACCAACCCCTGACTATATCAAGGGAGAAAAACAGACCGTAAGATTGTTTTCCAGTTTGCCCCCCTCTGTCAAAACAGCACTACGCACCCTTCACCTCTAAGGTCTCTTCCCACATTCCTGTGACCCACTGTCAGTTTCTCTGATCTAAGCAAACAAGAATCTTTAAACCTCCCAAAAATGTTGAACATTGAAAAGAGACGAATGTACATGAAGATATCAGCTTTAAGGAAACCAGAACTGGATGTCTAGAAGTGCTACGGCAGCAGGAGCATAACTTTTGTCCGGCTGAAGTAAATAAAAGTTGTGCCACAGAGTGCAGTGGGCTACAAGCCAGCCCCAGGCCCTCCTGCTCTTATGCGTGTGATGCACTGTTCAGGATTACAAGGGATGTCAGCATGGTAAAGCTGACAGAAGCACCTCACGACGAGTGACTTCAGAGGAATGTAGATTTCCAGAACCAAAACTGCCTTGGTCATGCCCCTTGCTGATCCTCTGGGGAGCCCACAGATCCTGAGGGTCTGTGTACATCAGCAATGCCTGAGACAGGAACTGCTGACTGTGCACTCCTCTGGGACTCGGGCACTTTGTTCCTCTTTGTGTTCTCTGGTGGCAAAGACATCCAGCACTGGAAGAAAAATCCTGCTGTTAATTATGGCGTATTTCACAGTGAGTTCTCTTTCTCTTTCATAAGCGATCTGCTGAGTTTGTCATCCTGGTGGATACTGGAGTACGTGACTCCAGAAGCAGAGACCCCCTTGATGTATGACCAGTCTCTCCTACTTCTTAGCTTAAGCTGGAAGAAAACCCTGCCTACATTTTTGCATCTATCCCCTGTCAGGAAGCACATGAAGGTCAAATGTTTGCTGACATGCATGGAGCCATGGACAAAAGTTATACAGGAGAGCATGGAAGTTTACTTGCAGACCCTCCAATTTAACAATTGCAATGGCTGACTCAGGCCTAAGTTAAATGCCAACTGCCTTTTTTAAACGCAGCATTACACAGACAAAAACCCTGTCTGGAGATCTTGACACATCTCTGAGATCTGAAAATTACGCATATTTTGACAAACCAGATCTCCCAAGACATGACTCTACAGAGACCTGGAAAGCAGCTAGCTAGTGAAGAGATTGTGGAGTTGGCTGGCACAGACAAACCTTGTCCTTTTAAGCACCAGCTGCCAATAGTAAAAGCAACCCAGCTACAGAAGGGACCTGAGGAAAAAACAACAGACTTCATATTGTACCTCCATCAGAGAAGCCAAGCCATTACTTTGATGATGCTGAGTGTGGCATCAAAGGATGAAGCTTCCTCCACAGGAAGTCCTGGTGCTTGTCAAGTGGTTCAGCTCACCTACATTAGGTATCAGAGATGTATTTTCTTTCTCTCTGTGATAGAGATGTAAAAAAACCATAGCTTTCAAATGGAAATGCAAACTGCATGTGTCTCCATGGGGCACATATGTTCTTCAGAAATGTGAGATTTCCTCCGTTTTTAGTGCAAGCTCACATCTCTCAAACATGAGGCTCTCAGTTGTCATTCACATTTCATGCTATGAGCCACATGGTTGTTGATCCATAACTACAATCTGCAACATTCAGGGCTGGTAAGCTGTGATAGCAGAGTTAAGGAGACCAGTAGAAAAACTAAGATAAGGAAGTTCATTGTAAAGATCCATAGAATGCCAAAGAAAGACTGGTAACTGGCAATTCTTCTCTGATTGATTCATATAAAAATGTTTTTACCAAATAAATACCATTTTTCCAGGGCTCTTGTTTTTCATGCTGCTTCTTGCCTGATTTTGTCTCAACCTTGGCTTGAAGCCCTGCAAAGACACTTAGTAACAGCAGTCTGCTCTCTTTGATATCAGGGCCAGAGAAGCAGGCATCTGTCAGAGCGATTCAGCTGACTCCCTCTGCAAGGTATCAAACAGCTAAGGTGGTATGGACGTTCAAAGACACACGCAATTTTTGTTGGCTTACACACTCTAGAATGTTAGGAGGAAATTCTTCACTCAGAGGGTGTGAGGCACTGCACAGGTTACCCAGAGAGGCTGTGGATGCCCCATCCCTGGAGGTGTTCAAGACAAGGTTGGAGAAGGTCCTGGGCAACCTGATCTAGTGGGTGGCATCCCTGCCCGTGGCAAGGGGGTTGGAACCAGGTGATCTTTAAGGTTCCTTCCAACCCGAACCATTCTGTAATTCTATGATCTCGTGGTTAGACAGGGTCAAGAGAAGTAAAGCAGGTGACCAGAGCTTCAGTGGGGAACAGAGAAGGAATGGCAGATAAGAAGGAACCAGCTTTACTCTGGAAACCTTCATCAGAGCCATGACCAGGCAAAAAAGCCACCTGGATTGGCAGCAGCTCTTTACATTATAAGGGGGAACATTATAAGACATTATAAGAGGGAACCTAAATCAGAACTGAGCACAAATAATGGATCTACAGTATAGGACACCTCTCAGGGGTGATTTCTTCTTCAGATTTCTTCTTTCACTGCTCTGAGCCACCTAATCCCACCTACCACTCTTCAATCCCCTACCACCTTTCCCTATTGCTCAAGAATGAGACAAGCTAATGAACAGCACCTCTCTCTCTACCCCTTCCTGGCAGGGATGGAACATTTCCTTTGCTTGTTACTGACAAACATAAAAAAAAATGGCAAGTGTCAAAGCCAGGAGGCTTATGTTCATCCATAAAGACCAATCATGGCTCTGACTTAAATTGTCAAACCAACCAATTAAATTTCCTACCCCTAAAAAAAAGACAAGACCTTAATAAAAGCCATTTACTCTATCTAGCAAGCAGTCTGTGAGTGTTCCCAGCCTGCACTCTTAGCTATGCAGCTCTAACACCACAAGTAAATAGGGATGGACTGAACTGAACGTGTCTGTGCTTGGATAAAAAGCACACCATGCACATCCATCAGATTACGCAGCCAAAAAAATCCATACCTGGACAAACTGGGAAATATGATGCCATAAAAACATGCGAGAAAACAGAATAAGCAAGTCACGTTTGCATTCAAGAGAATGCAAACCTGCAGTTACTTTTCTAGTTCTCTTATCTTTTCCATTAAAGCACCAAATCCTCTTAAGCATTCTTCCTTCAAATAACGGATGCAGAGGCACAATTCAGCTCAGCCGGAAAGCATCCCACAGCTCAGGGCAGGGTCTCACACATGGTTATTGCTATGCGTTTGTTTCTGGAGTTCAGGAAATTACCTTTGCCAAACTGGTACAGTATGCAACATTTCCCTACTGCTGTGGGACTCTCCTAGGGGATCATTTGCTTTGCAAAGTGTATATATAGCAAAACCAAATTAAGGCATGGTGAGACAATTAACTCAGAAAATAGTCTGGGGCTACAAACTGCACCATCACTGTCATCCTTCACAAGATAAGTGCACTCAGATGTGAGCTTTTCACAATCGGCCTGTGAAGTATTCACACATATACAAAGTCAACAGATTGTAATGGAAGTCCAAAATCATATAGATCCAACAGTATGCAACAAGGAGAATCAAAGAAACCCCACAGGTATGGATAAAAATTCTGAGAAATAGCCTAACATAGATACAAGCAATGTAAATGAGTTGCTTACATGTCTCCAGAGCAAAGGCTAGCATGGAGAATTGCAAGCACACCTAAGGAATACCAGTATGGGGTCAGTTAGTCTCCACAACTCTCAGAAGCAGACACATTTGTCTGATGCACTTTAGCAGCAGGAGAAATTTGCACTCCAAGGTGCTGCAGGTCTGGGAAAGACTCACGGACATTGTACAGCAGCTGACAGATCTTGATGGCCTGGACAGACTTCTCCTGTGCTGCACTCAGAGCTGCTTTCAGGGAGGCCTCAGAACTTTCCTTCTGAGCAGAAATACTCGGTAGCTACAGAAGTAAGAAGAAGAAAACATCACATGGCAGAAATTTTGGGCTCTCAAGGGATGGGATGGTCTGGGAGTGAGGGCATGTTCACTTTTTCTGTTTCATCTTTTCTGCTGGGAACCTGCTCTGAGAAACCAGCAAAAAAATTCTTTCCAAACAAGTCTTTACCCTTCCACTGATATATGTGCATGAGCTGAAAGAATTTCAGGACTAAACCAAGTTCCAATAAATTCATTCTCAGACTTTCTGATTTGGTGTTAGCTTACTGAAAACTACTTCTCCATGGAAATAGAGTTTACAAGTTTACCCAACTTGTAAATCTGTCTTTCATACGCAACTTTCCCTGGGCTTTTCTCTCACTTCCAAATCCAAATCTTCTAAGATTTCAACACCCATCCAGAACAGAACCGAATTTTCTGTGTCTGCATATCCGCATTTTTACCAACTGAAAAGCTCACTGGCAATTTATTTCACCTAGAACCTCCTGCAGAATTATATAAAACACGCAGCATGCTCTCACTTCAGCAGAGGGATGCCTCCAACTCTGAATGCCTTGCCTGACCTAAGTAACATCCCCTGATTTCAGTGCATGCTAGGGCTTGTCCAGATTCTGAGCCCCAAATTGTGCTGGCTTCAAAAGGCAGCTGGGGTACACACTGCATCATCCTCTCATACCTCTTTTACTGCTTTTTGAGTCCTGCTTCCCCTGGAGCCAAGCCCTCCAGGTCTGCTCTCTGCCTAATGGTCTCCAAGATCCACTTGATGTGCCGCAGGATGATCTCAGTGGCTGTGCTTTCACTGGTGGCCACTGAAGAGGAAAATAAAAAATAAAGTTATTTACAAATACAAACCCCAAGGAGAACCTAAAGGCCTAACACCCATACCAACAGAATCAAGAACTGAGTGGGCTGAGTCATCATTGGTGCAAATGTTAAGGGAACACAAACCAGACTTGTGACTGTCCAGTGGCAGTAACACCTTCTTCTCTCCCTTACACTAAAAAAATGAAAATTCAACCTCATTCCTTCCTCTCACATCTAATTCCAAGCTGAATCTGCTGAGGCTTGACCTGATGAATCTGAAATACAATGACTCTAGAGTAAAACCACAACCTTTTATAGATACCACAGTATGAGAATACAACAGAATAATTCAAGAAAGGAAAACAAACAAACAAAAAAAAAAACAATCCTTACTCAGGGTAATGAAGAGATTTGGGGAAAATACACTGTGTACCAAAAATAATTGTACTTGTCCCCAAAAATGATTGTACTTGTCCCCAGACTAGTTTATAAATAAAACTGGAAATTGCCAAGTGGATGAACCTGATTTTTTTTTCCACTGCTAGAGTTACAAACTTGGAGAAGATGCATAGTGATATTTTCATAGGAGAATCCAAAATAAAAAACTATAGTTCATCCAAGACATCTGTGCATATTTTTTGTTTGCATGCTTACATTTTTTAATCATTTTGGTTCAGTTTCAAACAGAAAGATCAATTACTCACAAGGCACTACTTGGGAGGAAAGCAGTGAAAAACACACAGCTTGGTGAAAAGAAAACACAGTCCTTGGGACCTAGGAGACACACAGTGTCAGGTAGGAAGAGAAAGCTCTCCAAGGTGGTGAAGGAGGCAGTGGAGACTGTGGAATAATCAGGGGATGATTTTGAGCTAGTATGAAAAACTCCTTGGAAAAAGACTTACTGGAGACATCTTGGTGATGCTGAGGGAAACTCATCGAGCACTTTAGCGCTGTAAGGTTTAGGTATGACATGTATATGCCCCATATGGATCAGGGAGTGGTTTACAAATAAAAATATTTTTCCCTTTATCCTATCAAAATGTTTCTGATTTTATTACACAGACTTGAGTTGTCACAAATGCATTCCCAGCATCCCACCGTCATACCAAGGTGAGCTCCATAACCAGAGCATATTCTCCACCAGTCCTGTCTCTTAGCACTACATTACAGGACAGGCAAGGGCTACCACGAGCAGCTCAAATCGTTCCCTCCCTCTTCATTTTCATGATAAGAAATATTTGTGCTTCTGTTTGTTCAAGCTGCAATTTGAGGAGATTCAACTCTATGTAATTAAGCAATGCTCCTCCTCGGAATGGGTATTACCACCAGATAATTAACCATGTTGGGAGTCTGGTGTTTCAAGAAGGCAATCATGCTTAACAAATGACAAAGCAAACTGCCTGTCGGGAATGTTTGCTACAGAAGAAGTTATCAGCATTATGAGTGCAGTTTTGCTTTCTATTAAACAATCATTTACATTTCACTGCATATTGATTTAGCTTTTAATTTTCAAGTCACTTCAGAGCCAGGGAAATTTGCCGCTCTATCTGAATTGCTCAGACTTGTGCCTAAATCCAGCCCAACTCGGAAGGCTGTGCCACCAACTGAAAGCTGAGGACTCCACGTCCCAGTACCACCATAGGCAGGCAACAAAAACAAAAACAACAACAAAAAAAACCACCAGAAATAAGAAGGGGACTAGCTATCCATTGCAGAGATGTCTATTGGGGACACTAAGTATGGGACCCAGATGACTTTATGATTTGAAACCTTGGAAACTATCTGGGCGGTTTCTTACACCAACTCTTGCTCTTGCAAGTTGTTAACAAACAAACAAAAATATTTCAAGGACAGAGTTCAAAACAATTTTTCATTTAATATTCTTAGCAAGTACTTTTTAAATTGGCAGTCTCTTTTCCCTCATTTCCCCCATTTTTTCTGTTTGTCACTTGAAGATGAGATGAAAAAAAGCTGACTCATTAAATAAACACTCTATTAATTGAATGATTATTTCTATGATGAGGCCACATGAGACATCTTATGTGTAAGACATAATCAGCGTAGCTTGGAAAAGCTCTAGTATGCCACTGTAACACCTCCCCAGCACAGCCAGTACAGATTCGTGGGGAATGAGAGGGGATCACAGAAGTGTGTACACACACACACAGACTCCTGCACAGGGGTCCTACTAAATTCATGCTCAAGGTTCCTACAAGGCAAAGCCATCTCCCAAATACATGTTGACCTACTCTCTGTGTTCCTAAGCATTTATAATGTAGAACTGGAAGGAACTTGGTAGGTTACCAGTCCATCTCACTGCTGTCATAAACACTATGTTATACAATCCCATAAATAAAATTATTAAGATCTATCCTAAAACTAGTTATCCATTTTGCTCACTTTCCTCTGGTTGGAAAGCTCTTCTACAGTCTCATTCCCCTGTTGATTCTTCTAATTTTCAGCTTAAATTTATTCATGGCCAGTGTATACCCACTAGTTCATGTGCCAACGCTATCTTTTAGCTTAAAAAGCTCTTCTAAACTCTGTATTTACTCTATTCCTCCTCTCCAATTTCTTTATAAGAGCATGATCATATTCCTTCTCAGTCTTCAGTATACTTGTCTAAATAAAGCAGCTTCTCTTGTAGAATAGCTTCTCCACTCCCCTGATCTTAACAACTGCAGAACTGCCTCTACTTCAGTACAAATTCATCCTTTTTGAACACGACTAGAACTGCACACAGTATTTCAGACAAGGTACTACTCTTACCTCTTGTTACTGAGCTTTATACGACTGCATCATTCAATTCTCACTACTTACATCCCCACACAGATAATTCTTCTCCCACTTGCAGATCCTCCTCTGTGTAGACAAAAGTTCCCAGTTTTGCTCATCAGCAAGTCCTCCTAGCATGGTTTGATATTTGTGTCAACAACATTAGTGATACAATTAATTGAGCACCAAGAAAGGCACTGGTAACCTTGCTGCAACATGTCAGTCCTGCCTTCAGCACAACCTGTAGTTATTTCCCAATCAGCTACATCCTCTTTTTAGGATCACCATTTCCTTTAGTTTAACAATTTCCCCACATGAAATTCAAATGCTTTGCTCAAGTCTAGATTGAGGCAGAAAAGCCCATTTTTATCTCATCAAATAAAGATTCCAGGTCAGGCAGAAACAATTTACTTGAACACCTTTGCTTCATTTTATCCCATTTCTTGACTTACATGCAGTGCTTCAATTACATATGCCTTCCAGCCTTTTCCAGTGCATATTCCTGTGCAGCCATAGCTCTGGTTGCCTGATCACTGCTTCCCACTCCTACACACATGTCCTAGTTTTAGCCCCTTTGTAGGGACTACTTCCAACTTGAAAAATGCATCCATAAACCTTGCCATTGCTCTCATAACCATGTGTGTGAGCTCCCCCACTCTGCTGGATGATAAGCCAGAATCCCCTTTGCTCTCTGAGTTGTGGTTTCACTTCAGGAAATTTCTATTCTTGTATCTCTTCACCAAAGCTCTCCTGGATTTGTCCTTTGGCTCAGCCATGAGTTTGTGGGTCATCTCCTCTCATTATCCTTTTTCTTTACTTGATCAAACGTTTGTTACTTATCTCAGTATACACTGTGATTCCCAACAGTCTGACATGCTGCAAGCCTCTCTAATTACATACATTTTCAGACCTCTAAAGTAAATTTCTTTGTCTGTCTGCCATTCGAGCCATTCCTAGCAGGTTCTTTACTTGGCCTAATATTCCTCTTCAAGTTATACATTCACTCAGGTCTGCAACCTCTCATACAAATTCTCCTCTCTTGTTGGGGATGCAAACTTCAGACAGTTCTCATACCTTTAACATAAAAGAAAAGAACCCAACAGCTCCTCCTGAGCTCTTATGAGCAGCTGAACTCATTAATTAGTTTCTCTCATTTCGAAAATTCTGTCCTTTTATAGCCAGAACTCTGTTAGTGAACTTGTTGGCATATCCTTCCGTCTAATTCACACTAAGCTGACTTTTGGTCTCTCAGTCTGAAGTCATCTTTTAAGAGAACACAGGAGGGGTACAAGAATAGCATCCTTTTGGAGAGCACATCCTGGAACCTGTTGCTGCTCCCTGGCAGGTATCTGCACTGCACTTCAACCAGCCTGTGTTGGGGTTATGTGGTAGGGTTTTGGTAGTGGGGGCTGCAGGGGTGGCCTTTGTAACCCATGTTAGATAGGGGCCAGTTTCAGATAGCTAAAAAAAAAAAACACTACTGCACAAAAGCAGCTGGGAGAGCCAAGAGTGAGAACCAGCCCTGCAGCCCAAGGTCAGTGCATATCCCAGGCAGTGAATACCCTGTGCAGATATTCTTGCTTGTGTGGTCTTTAACACTTGTCCTAGCTCCAAGGCAGTTTGATTCGGGCACCAGGTTGTGTAGGCAGTGGAGCTAAAGGGGAGGTAAACGGGAACAACATAAAAGGCCAAGAGGGAAGAGCAGCAGGAGCTCATGCAGGGGAGCTGGAGAGGAGTAGAGTGATGGAGAGATGGTGCAAGAAGTAAGCAGGAGCCAGGTGTGCCAAGCAGGTGGGGTGAGGCAGGCTGGAAACCGTGGCAGCAAGGTCTGCAGTCACCTGAGAGCCCTGCCCTACCACAACCAGATGTGAAGGGGGAACGCCAACACTTCAATGACGTGAGATGTCAACATATAGACCAGACGGCTACCAGCTGGTAAAATGCCCAGTGCCTTCTAGAAGAGGTCTGGACAGAAGGAAAAGATGGGTGGTGTTTTTTTACAGCCACTCTACTGCTCCAAGTTCAGGGCTGCACCATGGACTGGTGACTTTGAACTATGTGACAACCTAAGCCAAGGGATGCCTTTCACAAGGGATTACCCCTCCCTTCCATTTCATCCAAATTTGTTTTTATTTTCTTATGATTTTGCACCCAAGCCATACCCCAGATCCTCCACTCTACCTCCTCTCAAACACTAAAAAAGACACAAAGTTAAGCACTCAACAAATGGAATTGCTAGATAAAAAGTTCTCTACAAAACCTGAGAGTTGCAAAGGGGCTTCACTTCACCATGTAGTGTTTTTTGAGCAAAAAAAAACAGACTTGCTCCATGCACAGCTTGGACTAGGCAGAGAACGATCCTAGTTGTCTAGAAAAAAAGGCTATTACACGTAAGACTCATGTTTCTCTTGATGAATAAATGTGTCACTAATGAGGCAGTAACTGCAAGAAGAAAAATAAAAGCCTCATCTTTATGAAACCTTGGAGAACTAGATCGTATCTCTGCCAACCCAGAGCTCTTGTGTGATTCTGCAAGAATCAGGTAAGATGAAACCTTCAGAGGTGGCAGCTGAATTCCATGTAAGTTTTCCCAGTGCCACACCTCAGACACCAGAGATCTCAAGTGCACATATGCCACAGTTCCACCGCTGTAATCAAGTTAACTTTGAAATAATTATGCACATTTCCACTTGTCTAGGGAAAAAAACAACAACAACAAAAACACAGCATGAACAAATAAAGCAGACCTTACAAATTAAATAAATAAATAAATAAATAAATAAATAAAAGACAAAAGAACCCCTAGGACCCCTGTTCCTCAGTTCAGTCTACACTTGGCAATTTGCACCTGACTTCCCTGTGCCTCACCTCCCAGTGCAGCTAAAACAAGGGCAAAAAGGGAACCCATAGAGAAGAAGAGAATTTTGTATTCAGAGCAGGGTTTGGAGGCTCTGCAGCAAACAGTCTGGGAGCAGGCAGCAACTGAAGAGGATAAAAGAAATATTGAATAACACTACCCCTTCACCAAGGCAGAAGTCCTGTGAACACCAGAGCGTATGATCACGCAATTAAATACCGGATCCTATGCCCAAGGGTCAGAACTATGACAGCAGAATGGTTTTTGTTGTTGTTTTTTTTTCCCCCCCACATGGGAAGGGAGATAAAAAATGGCTGTGTTTTAACTACCTGAATTTATGAAGGCCACACACACACAAAAAAAAAAAAAAAGGAGCGCAGGGAAGAGGTGCAGCTTTTAAAAGCAAAGGCTGGATTCCGATGTGAACAGGGGTGTGAGAAAAATTCTGAAGTCCCCACTTTTGATGCAGTTTTTATGGCTGGGAGCTCAGCACCCTTGCAGACCTCTGCTGACAGCCACAACAACCCTGGCAGCTTCCAAGCCCTTCGCTGCACTCACACCTCTCTCCCTCTTCTCACATCCCCTCCCAGGCTCAGACGTGCTGCTTTCAGAGGAGAAAATTCATCAGCTGCTACTCACCCCCCAGCCCACGAGGACAAGGTGGATGCTCTGCTGGCAGCACTTTCTCTGGCCCTCCTGCAATCAGCTGTAGCTATATCCAAGGCTGCCCTGTGCTGGAAACCTTGTCAGGGATTGCGTGCAAGGGAGCAAGACAGAAACCGAGGCATTTACAAGATGAGCAAGGGTTTTCAAGCAGCATGTCGTGGCTCCGGTCAGGCTCACTCAGACAGAAAGCAGACATCATTCATGTCACTGAGCACAACAGTGCTTTCCAATCCCTATAATCCTATGTCAGGGGAACTAACCGATGTGACAAACTAGGACAGGAGGTGTGCAAGCTATGTGCTGAACGCAGCACGCCAGGACACCTGCAAGTTTCAGCTGCACAGGCAGGGTACAGCCAGTTCGCCTCAAAACAAAAAAAAAAGAAAGCAGGTTTTACACTACTTTTTTTTTTTCTCCTCTTCATGGCTTCTTGAAATCAACATACATAATGCAACTGCTTACAGGAAAGCAACAGTCCTCCACACCAACTGCTGCATTCAAGACATCAAACAATAAGCAAATAAATAAATAAAAATCAGTCAATGGGCGTGCTACACTTGCAGGCAACTGTGTGCCCAGAGTTAAAGAAAACAGATGCTGGAAGAGCCAGCTGAAAGGTAACTGAGTACACAAGGACGTGATGACATGCAGGCAGCACAGGGTTGTAATGGTTCTGCTGAAAACAAATTGCACTGCAGAGTCTTCTAGAGGGTCACAAAAAGGTATTTAAAGAGACTGAGAAACACTGGGTGCCTCCTCTGCCCCAGTCGCAGTTTTTTAGGGACAATCTGCACACTGGCCAGTTCACCCTGAGGCACCCTTCCCAGTTCAGCTCTCATTATTCCCACAGCTCACAAGCAGTCCATGCTGTGCAAAGGGAAATCACCCTGTGAATAACCACATGGAAAGACAGTGCCTTGCAGACACACACGTACACCCCTCGCCCACAAAGCTTTCCTTCTCACAGATTTGTTACCCGCTTCTCCAGGGCGGTCAGGAATCCCTCTTCTGCTGCCTCCAGGAACTCTATGATGGGGCTCAGCTGTGTCACGCTCTGGATCAGCTCCTCCCTGCATCCCAGCAAACGAGCAGTCAGCATCTCTCCCTCTTTCGTGCTCTCTGGGGGGAAAGGGATTCAGAAGCACAAGAGAAGAAACAAGTCAGTCTGAAGGAACTGACAGGCTCCTGAAGCGAGTGAGACTTTGTGAAAGATCTAAGTGAATAGCAAAGCTCATCCCAAGCACAAGCAGCAGAGAAAAACCACTTTATGATTCTCTTTAAACTCTGTGAAAGGAAAACGTCTCATTTATCTAACAGAGCACAAAGCCATAAAGCAAGCTGGAGGTTAACACCAGGTTTGCAAGGCCACTACTTTGTGTCAGACTCCGCTAAGAAAGGAGCTTTCAGTCCTGAGGCTCAGCTGTGCTCTGGCCCACGTTGGCTGTGCAGCCATCGATCCAACCCTCCAGGCAGCAATGGGGAGAGCCCTGCGCTGCCCACAACCTGCTGCTGTGGAACAGAAACACGCCAGGATCGTGGCCAGCACACAATAAGCCTCCTGTATCTGAGTAAGGATACAAGGATTGAACAAATGCTGGAGCACTGCAGCCTGCCAGGGGGACGTGACCAGGTTGCTGAAGGTGCTTGGTCTGTATGTTACCCACTCATTTTGCCAGGACCGTGCCCAGTTCTCTACCTGTTTGATTCAGAGCTTCTCCACTGTCCTGTTCCCTCTCCAGCAAGGCTGCTCTCAGCGTGGGATTCACATCTTGAAACAGCTTCGGTGAGGACACAAGGGTCTGTGCATCCTTCCCTTTGCCCAACGGCTTTGTGAGCACCGACTGTTCCCCTGCCTCTGCCAGACAGGCAACCAGAGCCTACAAGAGAACAGGCAAAGCTCAGGGAAGGTTTAACAGCACGGCCAACTGCCTGATACAAGCAAAAAGCAGAATTCTGGGGGTTTTCTTGAGAGGAGGAAAAAAAATAAAACATAGAAACCCATACACACATGCACATCAACAGAGGTTGAGCTTGCTGAGGCCCTGCCTGCACTGAATTCAGCCCCAGGAGATGTCTGGGCTGTGGCCACCAGCCCCAGCAAGGGGGGCAACAAGCCCTGCCTGCCAGCTCTTCTCCTTGCAGTGAGTCCTGCCGATGGGAGCTGGTGAATGGCCCCGTTCCAGCCCCAAAAACACCTCTTCCGACCAGGGCTCTCCTAACAGCAAAATCCTAATAGCTAACTGACCTTATAAGATTGTAAACACTTATTTAAGAAGCCCAAGACTATAGGAGGGAACACAAGATAGCAGCACAGAACAAGGAGAGCACTTGCATAGAGAGCAGAGAACATTTTAGGTGGGACTTTGAGGAATTCCCATCCCCAAATCACAATGGAGTCACATCTCCTGGCTTTGGGCACACGCTTTGGAGATAAGGCACACAAGTGCTGTCTGTTGTGGGCTCTCAGCACACCTGGTTATCAAGCTCAGAGCTCCAAAATCCACTCCAGTGACCCAAAAGAGCAACCAGAGGCAAACAAGCCTGTGCAGTTATGGAAATAAAAGGAAAAGAAATAAGCTGGAACTCTTGCTCCCATTTCCCTGGAGCCCTTTAACGCTGTAAATATTGCCCCTAAAGACACACGCTCCCCAGCTCTCCACAAGAGATGCCAGCCTTTCAGAGCAGGCATCCTTTATTAGAGACTCCAGGGATGCTATAAAAGCACCTTTGAAGTGGAGAGCTTAGCCCAGCTCCTGAGATAACGGCCATTTTCTGCTGTCATTGTCATTTTTATTTCTATGATAAAAAGACTGAATGTAACTGCTTGAGGCCACACCAGGGGGATGCTGGACTTGCTTTTCCTAGCAGGTGTAAATGCTCATATTTTAGGGCAGCGTGACAGTGCAATGACCTATTGCAAGGAGCGTCCACAGAGGGGGAGCTGCAGGAGTCCCAGTTCTTACCCACTAACGGCATTTTTCCTGCCAAACAGAGAGACGTAGACATGAAGGGCTCTGTTATAAATGAAATAAATTAAAAAAAAAGAGAGAGAGATGCAGCAGATGTGCTGAAGAACAAGCTGAAAGGTATTTTTTTTAATCCAAGCATCAATTTTTAATAAGACTTGATAACCAGATCGTGTTTGTTCTCAAGGTTTGCATGTCTGGCCCCTACCAGATGAGACTGATCCTGCAAAATATCTCCAAGCTCACCTCCCTAAAGGTGCTCAGCACCTTGCCATATGCATGTTTTTAATATGTATGAAAAGTAACTTGCATTGTTGTAATTTATTTATTTATTTATTTTTAATTAAAATCAGCACAGCATTACTGCCTAGAGATCCACTTAACATCCCTTCCTCGGTGCATGGTTTTCGTTAATGGAAATGAGTTTTCAGAATCTGAAAGGCTCTGCTATTTATAGGCTGTTTCTGGAAGACCTTTCCTCAGACACATCGCTCAGTGGGAGCAACAGCCTTTTAGCATTGTTTTGAAGGAGTGCGTGGTGCATTTTAGACTTACTTTGAAGCAAAAACAGCTCCCACAGAACCTGGAAGAAATGGAGAAATAGTGATATGAAGCTGGAATCCCAGCTTCCATTCAGTGGTAAGGTGCCCACGTGTTGTAGCCTCATCTCTCAGGCTTTCACTGCATGGGACACTTGCAAAACCCTTCATGGCCAAATCGGCACAAAGCAGCATGCAGTCAGCTTCCAGACTGGGGCAAGAGACAGGCTAGGGCGATTTCCATGGGGGCAGGGAAACCAAGTCACTAAGAACTGACTTCAGCTTGAGTTGTACCACCAAATGGCATCAAAGTCCACTGAGAAATTCAACTCTGACTGCAGGTGTCAGTCGTGGTGCCTGCAATGCCCCAGCTGCTTACAGCCCTACCAGTACCTCAACGATCACACACCATGAGAACGTCCTCCCAGTTCATCTTAAACCTCCCCAGTTCCACAGCAGCCCCGGGGTAAGAAACACCACAGAAGATATGTCCCCTATCTTCATATCAACTTCCACATTTGGGGGATTTCTTTCCTAAAACCTTCAGTTCCTACGCTGCTACATCCCCTCATCCCGCTGCAGGATCTCTTGCTCTTCCCCACTTCTCCTTCACGCTTCAAATTCTTTTGCTTCTTCTAAAATTCCCTGGAGTAAACCAGGTGGGAAAGTAGTGAAAATCCCACGTGCAATGACCCATAAATGAGCCTGCAGATTTCACACAGGGATGTGGGAGAGAGGCAGAGCAGCAGGCGGTGCAAGCACAAATCCAGCTGGCCGCTAATCCACAGCCTCACCTTTTTCCTGTAGGTGGATTTTCACATCTCATCCGTGCTTCTGCTCCCACTGTGAGACATGCCTCAGGTGCAAGAGATCTCTGCAAAAAGCCACTTTACTACTGCTGAGTGATCTCCCTTAAGCAGCAGCTTCAGCACTAATGCAAGCACCTAAAAGTGGTGGGAGAGACCTTCAAGAGACGGGCTGGAAAGCCAGGAGGCTTAGGGTGGCACTCAAACCTTGCTTTCCCTTCCCTCATAATCCCAGACACACTCAGCTCCAAGACTCACCCCTGAGCACGGTAAATTCTGCATCAATAACTCAGCCCTAGCTTCCTTCCCTGAGGAAAGCTGCACAATCCACTGCCAGCTGCAAAGTCTCCAACTGCAGGCAGCCAGTTCTGGCCCACAGAAAAGCTCCTCGACTACAACCAAGCCATGAAGTCAACCAGTTACCACTGGTACAATACATTATATGTATGACATATCATTAGCATACAGTAATAAGGGGAAAACTACATTCCCACTGCTAGTTCAGTTCACTGAAATATTTTGTTTGTGTTTCCTCCTCCACCAAACCTGCATTTGTAAGTGACCTACGAGGGAGACTCCAGCATCAGGACAGTGCCATGGAGGATGCTGGCTCCTGCTTGCTGTGCACAACAAGAGTTAAAGCTCAGCCAAAACTTCCATGCAAGAAGAGCAGAGCAATGAAAAAGTTTCTGCAGCTTTGCCACCAGGAAAACAGGCAAACCTGCAAGCTCGTGCTCCTAATCAGGATGCAGAAGGTAACAGCAAACCTTTTTCCGCCGCATCCAGAAATTCCTGCAGCTGCAAATGAAGGACAGCGATAATTGGACAGGCCCATATGCAGTGGAAATGATCCACAAGCACAGTGACATTTATTCTGCACTAGAGAATCAACGCTCCCCCACTTCATCTGAAACCAGTAGAAGAGGGAACAAATGAGCTGTGCAATAATTTGAATTGAGTTTCTCTAAGAGAGCACAGGAAGATAAGAGTTGACACCAGCAAAGCTCTTCTACGCTTCCCCAAATTACTGCAATTTCAGTCTTGTTCTCATTTCCAAGCAGGTTTCATCCAGGCCAGAACCAAATTAGATAGGAATAGTTTATGTGAGTTACACAGAGAGACTTCAAAACAAAAACAACACCCCAAAAACACATCATCGTAAATAGAAAACCAACTTATAAGGGTACATCTGCATTTTTCAGCCCAGGGAGCAGAAGGTAGCAACAACCTTAGAGAAAAGTAAAAATTCTGACAAAAGCAAGGCAAAAAATCCTGCAACTTAAACTTCTGCTGGATGTACCTGGAAATAAGGCAGCAATGCTGAAAGGAAGCACAGCACAACCCCATAAAACATGGGGCAAACACGAGCAAAGGAACAGAAACAGGGAGATGTCTAAAGCAAACTCTCACTGAAACCTAAGGAGCTTAAAGCCAGAGCAGCCTTGGCTCTAAAAGCAGCTGGTAAAACCCCAACAACACCCCCGAGCCCCAGTGCTGTGCGTCAAAAACCCAATACTGCTTGCATATAGGGACAATACACCCAGAAAGGACTCGTGAGCAGGAGGACAGGCATGAGGAATGGGAACTCTCCTCTGCAGCACGGCAAGCACTCCCCACCAGACTATACAGCATGAAAAAAAGGCAGCTCCTCGCACTGCGTGGTTACATCTACAGCCATCTCACTGTTTTCCAGATTGATTTTACTTATCCTGAGGCACCCAAGAGACTTCAAGCAAGTAACTGGTAAAATAATATGAAAAGGAAACAACAACAACAACAAGAGAGGAAAAAAAAACAATAACTTCCTACCACTGACACAATTTCAGCCCTAATTACACATCCCGAGCTGGGCTCTTCTGAGCTGAACTTACACTTTAAGCATCAAATATACCACTGTGTGGTGGCCCCAAAGAAAACACAGGGCCCTTAGGGGTAAAAGCAACACCCTCTGCTGAAAACAGAGCCCAGCCCGGTGCCAGCGCCGACAGATCCTGCTTATCCCAGCAGGAGCTCAGAGAGCAACGGAATAGGCTGAGCTGAGAGTTTTCGCCTAAGCCCTTACTTACACTGAGCTGCATCCCCCCTCCCCACTGCCTTTGGGGCTGACACTTTTCATGCTTGTTGCAGCTGAGAAGTGATTTTTCTGCAAGGCTTAAAGAAAATCCATTTCTCATTTATTCAGCATTTATTTACAGCTACAGAAAAATTGTCCAGGTGCCATTCTGCAGTCAGATACCCAGACTGTCTCTGAGCTCTGCAGCTTCCCCCATGTGGGCCCTACAGCTCATTTGGGAGCAAAACAGGCAGGGCATATGGCATAAAAGGGCCCACCAACCTCATCTGCCAGGCCTGAAGAAACTCAAAACATTATAGTTACTGCAAAGCAACAGAAAATGGGGCTCCTAGGCCATTACAGAAGTAAGGCAGTGTTCTTGCCTACCTGCAGCAAGAGGTGTTAGCAGGTGAGGGGGACACACTGGCACAGGATGCCCCCTGGCAGCGCCTGTCCATGTCCTGTGAGTACAGCACCCTCTCTGCAGCGCTGCTCCAGTCAAGCTTCAATTACCAGTGGGTAAAACCTTAAACCTGACATCATTTTCTAATCCGGAAGATGAACAAACACACAGAAATGTAATCTTTCTGCAGGCATGCAGAGAGCAATGCACTCAAAGGTGCTCGTCAGCCTGACCAGGCTTGCAGCTGCAACCATGAATTAGGACCTACATCTCCCTCCTGAAGCTCCAGCATTTTTAAATTGAACACCATCAAAGGGGTCAGCCACTAAGAGAACACAGACTTTCCTCCCGTGAACATTCAAAGGCTCATCAGAAAATAAATCTGTATTCCTCAAAGGAATTCTCCTACCTGCTGTCATACTTTTTTTTTTTTTTTTTTTCTAGTAAAGATGTTGACTTTGGTTTTCAAAAGCAGAAAGCTGTCTTGGCCAAAAAATCCCATGTCACACAGACATGCTGGTACTGCTGGGCCCTGGTAACTGAAACCCAGACAGCTTCTCTCCCAGTGAGCTTGTAAAACCTACAGGTCTCTGCCCTCTAATCTGGGGAACATGAGTTCTCGATGTCAAAAGTCAGGCTAACCACAGTCTCCAAAATGTTGGCAACAAAACTGCCATGCTCTTATTGCGTTACATACAGAAAAACTACAGAGGGCAATTCATGCAGCCAGGCAGCCTGGCCTGAAAACAGCTCCCTCAGAAGCAGCCCAGGTGAGCTCAGCAAATGCTTCACAGCTGCAGCTCTTCCCCAGACACTGTGCTCAAGCAGTGCCCCTCAATCAGCCCCTGCATGGCCACTACACAAATACAGGAACTTCAGTAGTGCCACTGCAGATGTAACCTGCTGCTTCCTTGGTGGCTTTGAGCTACTCTGATGGCTGGCATCTGTTGTTCAGAGCCCACAATATCCTCCAGCACTAACCAAGCCCTAGATTCAACTATCTTCCAACACCCACCTGAGCATCATTCACCTGCAATGATTGCTTTTAAAGTGGCACGCCACCAGCAGAAGCGTCATGGGACAGCAGGCCGACATGCCACACATCCGTCCCCACCTGTGACGCTCCTGGTGAACAGCCTGCAAAGCAGAGCAGAGCAGATGCTCCACAGCAAGCCACCACCATGGGCTCAGGAAGTCTGTTTGAGGATCTCATGTGTCAGTCATTGCCCTGTTGATACAGTTCCCAAAGCAAATGCCATAAACAGAAGGAGTGCCAGAGCTGTCCTACCAGGCACTGAAGATGTCTTCAGGGCAGGACACCTTACCTACTTACTTACCTCCTTACCTACACGCAGGAGCAGCTTGCTCTTACAGATGCTTCTCAAGGGTGTTGTTCAGGTGAGCACGATTTGCCCTTCAAACAACAAAGCACCAGAGCCCCAGTTTCCCCATGAAAAGATTTCCTAAACAGGGCCCAAACTATTCTAGCCCTCAGCAGGGTGGAGAAGAAAAGACTTGTATTATTTTTCCAATAAACACACCTACCTCCCTTTGAGAGGCATCAATTTCTCTGCACTCTTCCAGTCTTCTCAGCACAGCCTGGGCATTAGAATGGGCCTCAGAGAAAACACTTTCATATCAGAGAAAGAAATCCAGTTTACAGCTTTTGCTCTCTGCTGCTGTGTGAGAGAAACAAGATGAGTTATTTGCTAATTGAAGGGATTCACAAAAAGCATGATGTGATTGAAAAGCATCAGTTTGTAACCAGCACATTGGCTGTAATATGAAAACTGTGACTCACAAATCCCTTCTAAAGATATCACGCAGCCTGGAGGAAAAACCAACAGTTTATTTAACACTAGTTATAAATGGAACATTTATTTTAAATCCATTGCAGCCTCTGTTTTCCTCCCATGCTGAACACAAGTTTAAAAGATAAGGTGGTATTAGCAGGCAACCCTGTGCACTTACTGTTACAAAGATTGTGTTACCACCCCATGTTCTGCACTAACACAGATCCCACTGTACATCAGATGCAATCACATGCATGGATAGAAAAGTTTTGCTCACTACAGCTCTGGTAAAGCACTAAGAGAGAAACAATCACGAAGGTATCTGTTTTTTCTTCTGCAGGATTTTTTTCAGACTGGGGCAGATTATCAGCTTCGGTGTTGTTTCCAGATGACTCTGCTGTCTCACTGGAGTCCTCTCACTATCTGATCCTGACTGGAGCAGCTGAGGAGGTCTCTAAGGAGGTTTTTGCAACTAACAGCCACATCAAACATCTGCAGACAGTCTGACACAGAGATGACTTTGGTGAAGTCGTGTTTCCCCATCGGGAGTTTGCCAGTGTACATCATCTCCAGCAACAGCCCAAACCCCTCAGGTATCACCACAGAAGCATCAATGGAGATGGTACCTGTGCTATCCAACAAGGATTTAAAAAGCAGACTGGCAGCAGCCAAAACAATCTTGTGCGCTCTAAAATGAACAGTCCCAATGAAGATGGTGCAATCGCAGAAGTGCTGCTCCTTGCAGAGTGTGTACAGCTGCTGCAGCAACTGCTTGCTGTAACTGGGAAGCTCCATGGCTCTAGGATCTAGTGGCCTCCTTTTGCCTTGGTCTCCACGCTGCTTTCACAAGGTCCAGCTAAAGAAAAAACAAAGGATCCTATTAGCAAAAGGGAGCAAAAATCATTTTTCAGTTTACACCCCCTAGTAGATTATTACACTGCAGTTTAGTGGTTACAGCAAGAAGAGGCTCCATTCTTAACTGAGACTCCCCAAATTCAGCATCTTACCCAACTAAAGCTGCAGAGTCCAGACACTGTTCAAACATAAATATTTCAGCAAGAGCTTAGGTGTGAAAGTTAAGTCCCAGGAGTTACAAAAAGGAGAAAAGAAACTCCCAGACATGACTCCTACCACAGAGCTCTAAGATGTGAGTGCTCTTCAGATCAGGCACTGCAGTGCCACACACTGTCTGCACCCAAGAATTAGACGAACCAATGCAGGAAGACCTGCTCAGACTATCTATCAAATGCAGAGGAGAATGTGAAGTGTCGGTTTTGACTTACAAAGCACTAAGCAGTTTGGGAGCAGATAAGTTTCTCCCCACATCACTGCTAAGATGAGCAGGATCATCTGAGCAGTGAAGACAGATGACTGCTTGCAGCTCAGGCTTGTCAGCACCTCCCTTCCTGGCACACCACAATCCTAATACGTTGACTTATCAGGGACATGACATGGTCCACGTCTTCTCCCTAGGCTTTTTCTCAGGTCCCCAGAGAGCAGAGCTCAGCTCCTACCCCTCCACTCCCCTCATGAGGGAGCTGCAGGCTGCCATGAGGCCTTCTCCTGGCCTGCTCTGCTCTGGGCTCAACAAACCCAGGGACCTCAGCCGCTCCTCATACATCTCCCAGTCTAGACCATTCACCATCTTTGTAGCCTCCTGTGGACGCTCTTTAATAGTTTATTGTACGTTTTATACTGTGGTGCCCCAAACCATACACAGTACTGGTGTGTCCCACACCAGCACAGAGCAGAGCGGGACATCTCTCAACCAGACGACGGGCATCTGACCTCTCAGCTGCTATGCAAGGATTAATTCTTGGGCAGAGAGAGTCAACACTGGATGAATCCCCCAGAAGACAAATGTTTAAAACAATAGGAGGCCCCCAAAATAGGTTATCCCCATATTTTTCTTCCTCTGCTTCTTTTTGAGCTGGTACAGGCTGGCACAGGCTGCTGCCACCTCTGGCAACCACTGCCAGGAGCGAGCCCTACACTGCTCTGCAAGTGCTGCCACAAAGGATTTTCAGGCATGGTTTTAGCATTTGCAGGGAGTGCCGGAGAGCAGGCCATGTACAGCACTGAGAGGGAGATGTCCACAGGCCAAATCTCATCTACTAGAGCATCTCCTTCTTTTTTTTTTTCCTTCTTCTTTTTTCCATGTTGCTGTAGGGAGAAGTGATAAGACATCTGCCAGCAGAATTTTTATCAGCAGGGTATCTAGAGTTTTTGTCTATGCTAGACAAGATAAAGATGTTACTGTCTTGTCTATACATTAGGATGCCTAACACCGGTGCTGGCAATGATGCTGAAACAGAACAGCATGAGTGCTAGAGGAAGAGCACCTGGATAAATACCATTTACATGACCTTCATCTGCTTAACATCTTTGCACCTAGCTTCCTATTCTCTCATAGAGAACAGAAAGAACATTGCCTATCACCAGGGCATGAGCTTTAATGAGCCGAAGCGCATATACCACCCTTAAGCACTGCCTCGCACAGAAGCAAGCTAATAACACCCAGCTTGCACCAAAGTCCTGGGGGCAGGAAAGCAGACACTGGGCACAGGTTGAGTTGGCAGCTCACTCCCACAAGGCACTGGCCCCTTTGGAGTTCAGAGTTTGTTGGAAGCAGGACCTCTTGCCCACATGCAGGCAGGACTCAAGCTGTCCTAGTGCGTGGCGCTGCCTACTGCATCTGTGGAAAGGCAGAAGGAACCAGAAGACATCGCTTTTATAAAAACTACAGATGGCTGAGTAATCTGACGGGTGGATACCACCCATCCATGGCAGCAACTCCGTCTCAGCCAAGAGCTCCCCCATGTTTTAAATGCCGAGTGCAATGCACCTTCCTTTTCAATCATCAGAAAGTCAGGCTAAAATGCCAAATGGTTTTGGCCTCACCTCAAAACAGAGTCATCATGTTCTCCATGTGAATACCACTGAGTAGGAGCACAAGGTAGGTGGGTCCTTCTCCTGAAGGTAGGGAAACCTAAGCAGTCACTGATACCCCATCCTCCTGCTTCCCAGGACCCAGCACTCTGCTCCTCCAGGAACATCATTACCAAAGGCTGTCTGGTCTGTGGCTCATCAGCGCTACTTTGCAAGTCTCAGATCCAGCCCCTCACATAGGACTGGCCACCTGCACCTAGAGCCTATTAAACACACAGGCTCTGTTATCCTCCCACACTGTTGTAAATCACAGGCAACCAAGTTGATGTCAGCTGAGTTGCTACTGAATGTGGGAGAAGAAAGAGACCCATTTCGTTTGCCAGGCTTAGTGTAATAGCAATTTTAGTCCGCCCACTCCTTGCCTGGAGTTAAAGGACTTCCAGTATCTGAGATGAAATCAGGTCTGCTGGTTAAGTGATAATAGCTGTGGATCTTCCTACAAAAGGACAAGCAAGAAACATCAGTGCCCTGGAAGAAGAGATTTCTGCTCACTTTGCCATGAATAGCCTTATGCATAAAAGCTATCACTTCCACAGTTGTAAGCTGGAAGAAGCAGCAGCACCGTCTGCTCACTCTGTTCCTGGCAAGAATATTGAAGATATATTTGCCCATGACAACTCAAAACAGTAAAGCCCTAAGCAGCCTAAAATCACCTCCCCTTCTTTATTATAGCAATTAAGAGCAACAGAAAATGTGTTTTGTGTTTCTAATTCTGAGCAATTAGACTAGATATATTTGTTAAAATACATTTTATTTCCTTCATTATAGGGACACAAGGATCCCGTATTACCAACGAGAATAAACGTTTTCTTAATGGGGGGTGATTGCCAAGACCATTGTCAAGGCAACTGCCTGCCACTTATAACAATTTTCAAGCTTTTATTCGAAGCTTAGGGCCAGAAAAGACCACCACCAGCAATCTGACTTCTCACCTGCCACTGCCTCCTAGAGTTCTGGGCTTGATACCTTGGCTCTGGCTAAAACTTCTCTTCCTGAAAGGTGGCCAGTCATGGTAAGAACTGATGCTTAGGGGGAGAACCCTCCACTGCCATACTAAGTTATCCTAACTGTTGAAATACACGCCTCATTTTTTACCTGAATTTGTCTGGCTTCATCTCCCAGCTGTCTTCTAGCTGACTTTTGGGAGATATGCCTGCAGGACTGGGCTGAACTAGGAATCTCTCTGAGAGCAGATAACTGATACTTCAATAGTGATGAGTGCTTGCAGAGTGCAAGCTATCTGCCTCTGCCAGCTCTGCTGGGGAGAAAAAGCCATTTGTCACTTTTTCAGCCTAAAACTGCTTTTCCGCATCCTCTTTGAGCCAGGCTCAAAGATAAGACCACTGCTTTTGTTGTTGTTGATGCTTTGTTTTTCCTTTCTGAATTTTAAAGTTACCTGTCGCAGCCAAGGGCTGCTAGCTTCTCCAGGGGAATTCAGAAAAAAAAATAATCATGTGATATTAGGTGGAAAAGTATGTGATAGAGGACAGTCGAAAAATATATATATATTTGAAGCCGGTTAGTTGGTCAGCCTCTATGATGAAAATTTAACTGTATCCCAGCCAAAACCATTACAAATACCAACTTTGGAGGTAGAAAAATTAGACCAACTTTTAGGCCTGTGATTTTCCATCTTCCCACTCAACAGCACTCTCAAGACTTTTTTTCCTGTTATATTTAATACATTACCCCAAATCCCCTTGCTTATGTTATGTTGCAGGCTTCTTATTGCTAATTTCGTTTACTAAAAACAGGGAGAACCATCATTTTACCAGCACAATTTCAATGCATAAAGAGGTATAATATACAGCTTTTATTTGCTTTCCAACTTTAAGCTCTGTCTTTTGATGATTTTTCAGTTGAGGAATATTTCCCTTTACAGTCTCTCCTAGGAAATAGCTGCTTAGAGTCACCTTAACCTTTCGCAGGGAGTTTTGAGCAGATTTCCCACAAATGAGAGGATAAGACTTCCCTCTTGTGGCTAACCAAGAAATAGGTAGGAAAATAAAAGTTTGGTGAAAAAGAGTTTACTGCTGTCCTTATTTCAGCCAATTGTTTTTTTCTTCATTTTCTCATCTCTTCTTAAAACACACCAAAAAGCAGCTGCCCCTTTCTGCATATACATTTGCCTAGCAGTCCCTTAACTTTTAACACACTTTATCATCATTGAACTTTATGGATTTGAACCTCCAGATCTTCTCTAAATCCTTGTGTTTGCAGGTAGACGACCAGGACTGACATACTCATATTTGTACACCAGCTGCACATGAGTCATCAATGTTACTGCAAGGTGCAAATGCCAGGCAGAGTTGGGGATGTGAAGAACCATGGCCTGCAGAGCACATGAATTAACTTTTACTTTCATTTATCCTGTTAAGAGAACTGCCTTTCAGAGAAGATATGGGCTGGATAGTACAATGCCAGTGGGAATCATGTGTCGAATCCAGTGGGAATCATGTAGTTCACACAGTGATGTGAACTACTCTGGTTTCATACAGGCACATCCTCCCTAGCTTCTGCAAGATAGCATGCACCCTGCTAACACTTGCTAACAATTTCTATTCCTGCCCTTCAATTTCTAATTCGGCAGACCAAGTAATTAAGACACAGTAATAGCACTCCACATTTCTAAAGGTGATCTCCAGAGTTAGACTGGTGTGTCTGTGTGTCTGGTTATCTGGTTCTATGCTGGTGTTTAAAAAGATGATGCAGGAGTTATATGCAGAGCTTTGTTGGACAATAAATGTCAATTTCTCAGGCCTGATTCCCAGAATATTACAGGAATTGATACGTTATTCATAAGGAGAAGGTGGAAGACTTGTAGGAAAGAAAGAAAGTGGCTTATGCCCCAAGAGCTTGAATACTACCTGACTAGGTGCAGCAGCCCTTGTCCACACTGTACCATAAAGCTTACTCATACAGTAAATGAGAGCATTTTGTTATGCCGCTTTATCTGGCCTTTTGCCAGGTTTGACCTTCAAGTGATTAGACAGCCTCAGGAAACAGGATCTTCAATTACTCCTATTTCACACTGCGCAAACATTATTCCTGCCATAAATTCTTTTAGGCAGGATTTATATCTCCTGGATTTTATTTAATCCTAAACATGTTGATACTTATCAAACAAAGGCTAGCTTTGCTGTGTTTAAGCATTAATCTGTCTAGTTTCTTTTCAAACCCAGCTATCTCCTGACATCCTGTACTCACAGATAGCACATGCTGTATACTTCCTTGGAAATACTCTGGTCCCCAAGTGATTTACCTGCTGTTTTGGTATCTGTCCCCACCTTCAATACCAAGGCTCTTTTCTGCGGCTGTATCTCTTAGGGAGCTGCAGGATCTGTTATGTCACCAGAAGCAAGGCTGCCACAGCTCCATGCCACTGGGCCCAGCCAGTAGCAGAAACAAGCATGTGTTCCCAGGAGGCATACACACCACACGTACATACACAGGACCAGCCACGCAGATTGACACAGAAAGAAGCACTCAATACTCCATATCCACTGAATGGTGCACCCTTCAAATCCATCTCTCTCCAATTTGGAGACCAGTATGTCATGTGGGACCATGTCAAAGGCCTTGCAAAAGTCTAGGTGGATGACATTGGTTGGTCTTCCTATGTCAACTGATACAGTCACTCCATCCTAGAAGGCCACCAAATTGGTCAGGCATGATTTGCCCTTGGTGAAGGTGATCTGTTGTCTCAGATCACCTTCTGGTCTTGTATGTGCCTTGACTTTGCTTCCAGGAGGAGCTGCTCTGTGAACTTCCCAAGCACAGAGGCAAGGCTCACCAGTCTGTAGTTCCTCGTGTGCTCATATTTCTACCTTTTTAAAAGTGGGAGTGATGTTTCCCTCTTTCCAGTCACCAGGACTTCACCTAACTGACCGGACTTTTCAATTAGGATGGAGGGAGTCTTGACAACTCCATCGGGCTGTTCCCTCAGGACCCTGGGATACACATCACTGGTCTCCATAGACTGCATATATATGCATAAATATGTATCTTTATATATATATTCATACATATTTGTGCACATATATACAGTGTGGGTTCTTCCAGTAGCCGTTGTTAGACACTCAGTCTTCTCAGTAGCTCTCCCTGAATACCAGGTTTCCCCAGTTGCCAGTACTGGAACACATAAACCCACAGGGCCTCAAACCCAATCCACAGACCTAACAAAGACCTAAACAGACCCCTGTAAGCAGAGACACACACACACACACACACACATTGTCTCCACACACACAGGCACACACATACAGACAGATCTCTCTGTTGATTGACCACCTGCACAACCAGGCCTCATGGTCCCTCCAGCAGGAGGCCTGAAATCCCCCCTGCCTCTGTCAGCCAAATCCTCCTGGTGCCTCATCCCCAGAGACAGATACATGCAGACTCCTGGCTCTCAAGCCTCTTAAGCTGCTTGCCAACTACTCTGGCTCGATAATTCTAGCGATCACACACTCGCATACCCACACTGCTGCAGCTGCTGGAGCCCCCATGGGCCCCCAGTCCAAATCCAGCAGCTGTCACAGAGACCACGAACAAACATGCACACAGAATAAAAGGCTCCTGAATCACAAAAAGTGGTAGAAATGGAGTTTAATGAGAAGACAAGGCAGGCTGTGCTGATCAGGGCATGGCACATACTGACCAGTATTCTGTTTACATATGGCCAGTCCCTCTTATCTGCTTATCCATCTTGTTTCCAAAGTTTATCCTTCTCCAAACCCCACTGAGCCCTATATTTCCCCACCTTTGGTTCCTATAGTAAGTTTCATGAGATCCTGAAATTCAATTCCCTTGCATCCCATGATGTGTTCCATACCCTAAGCAAAGATAGGAAGGGAGAGAGAAGAGAAGGTGAAGATCATGATACGTTTCACATTCGGACCATGGTGCTGAAGCTCTCCTGAGACAGCCCTGTGAGGAACCAGGGCATAGGATCTTTTCCCTGACTTATTATGGTTTCCCCACCTGCCATTGCATGTTTGTGCTCCTGTGTGTCCTGTGTTTGAGCATGAATAGATGAAGCTTTTGTGGGTTGCCCACCACCCTGGATGGGTTTCTCTATCCTATGTTGTGTGTATGGAGACAAGATCTTTATAACATAAGCCAACGGTCTCTACTATCTCAGGTGTCACATACCCAGGAAAACATATTAGAAACATGGATGCACAGTGTAGCATTTACTTTTTTTTTTTTTTCTTTTTTTTTTTTTTTTCCAAACAAAACAAACAAAAAATGTTCCTGAAAAATATTAACAAACTTATTTTTACATAATGTTGAAATTTCAAAATGGGATCTGCCTTTGGATCTAGCTGCTTGCCAATGTTCTCCATCTCCCATTAGCAAAATGCTTTTGTCTGTGTTAAGACTGTATGCATAATTTATTGAGTGTTATAGGCAAATGTTAAAATAAATTTGCATCTAATACTTACTCTCTCTCTCTCAGCAGTCATTAGCTCATTCTCTTTATCAAGTCACCTGTCATAGAGGGGATCTACCACTTGACATCAAGAGAATAAGTTGTCTGGACTAAATGAACTGAATCACAGTTAAATACAGGTGCCTAGCTGTTAGGAGACACCAGTTGCTTTTTGGATATTGTTTAAAGCAGATGAATGCCAAAAGGAGTACCAGGAATCAGTATATCTCCTCATCCACTGGAACAGGGAAAGAGAAAAGTTGCTGAGCTGATCAAATAGTATCTCACAATGACTAGACAGAAAACAAACAAAAAATGCCTGTGTCATCAATTCTGATTCCCGTGTCTGGTAGTGAAAATATTCCAGCAAGAGGAAAAGTACACTGAATGTGTCTATCAAGTTATTAGGAAAAAAAAATGCAAGATATATACCTACAACTAGATAAGCTACAGAAAAGAGCAAGAGCTAAGGCTCTTTCTGTCTTAGACCCTAGGCTGTTTCCTTCTTTTTTTTTTCCTTTTTTTTTTTATTTTTATTTTTTTTCAGAATCCATGGCAGTCATACAATATTTGATGTAAATACTCCTTTTTATGTCATTGGTTTTATAGGTTTTTATTGCTTGTATACCAAACCACGTCATCATTGGTGCTTTCTTTGACCTTTGCTGTGGTTAAAATATTACCCAAAGGACAGTCACACCTTTGTGTGTTCAGTGTTTGCTGAACACTCATTTTGGATCCTTTCATTTGTGTGATTGGTAGGAGTGTGAGCACTATCCAGGGATAAGACCAATACCACCGAAATTGCTTGCAGTTGTTTTGCTCTTCTCGTGACTTCTCGTGATGTTTAGCTCCTGCTTAGCTAGCACATAACTAGCCACGTGTGCTAGCACACCAGTGTCAGTGAATGGACTGAACACTCCAGCTGCTTTACAAGCAGAATCAAACCAACATCATTCACTAGTGGTGATGGGGGCTTACACTTTTGTAGGTTATATATGGATATCATTAGGTGAAGTAGAAAATAGAATCAATCCCACAAAATATACGATAATGCAAGGTGGACACATCCGGACATGAAAATCTACAGTCCATTTGAAGACTGCTGTTGTGACACAATGTGGTGTCCAGACAGATATTTTGGATTTCAGGATGAAATATACTCCTGAAATGGAAGAGAATGAGTACTTCATCCTGTACAAGAAAATGTAACAGGCCTTCATTACACAGAAAAAGGCTTGGCTGGTTCCTGGAAACCTGTCCCTTGAGAAGCAAAGGACTCTCTAAGATTAGTTCCTGATCAATGCTTTCGTGTCTCAGCTGGTGGGAAAAACATGGACAGAGAACAGATAATTCATAGGTTCCTGGCCTGTATTACCCAAGAAAGTAGAAACAAATAGGTAAGAAATGTGCTTCATAGTAAGACCACAGATTTTAAAGATTTATGTGCAGAGTTACATGTAGCTAGCGGAGAAGTGCTGGCTGATGTTCTTCTGGAGAAGAAGGCTTTTACAATTCAAAAGGTGAGTAACCTGTGCTGAAGACTGTATTAAGACACAATTCTTAAGTCAAAGTGGTAAAGATTGGTAACCTGTTAGGAGCTAAAGTGTACTGGTTGACAGCAGGCTCAACGTCAGCAGTGTGTCCTGGCAGCCAAGAGGGCAAACCACCCTTTGGGGTGCATTAAACACAGCATAGCCAGTTGATCAAATGAGGTGATTCTCCTATATTTAGTTCTGGTGGGGCTTGAATATTGTCTGCAGTTCTGCACTTCACAATATAAAAAGGATTTTAAGGTACTTGAAAGCATCCAGAGGAGGCCAACAAAGCTGGTAAAAGGGACAGAAGGAGAGGTTGAGGACACTTGTTTAGTTTGGAGAAAATGAGGCCAAGAGGTGACTTTATGGCTCTCTACAACCTCTTGAGGTGGGGAAATAGAGAAAGAGGTGCTGGTCTCTTCTTGTTGGTCACCAATGGTAGGACACAAAGCTGCACCAGAGGAGGTTCTAAATATTAAAAAACATTTCTCTACCATGAGGGTGGGCAAACACTAGAACTGACTTCCTGGAGAAGCAGGTGATGCCCAATGCTTGTCAGTGTCCAAGAGGCATTTGGATAATGTCCTTAATAATATGCTTTACATTTTGTTTAGCCCTAATGTGGTCAGGCAGTTGGAGTAGATGATCTTTGAAGGTTCCTTCAAAGGGGGATGAACTATTCCATTCCATTCCATTCCATTCCATTCCATTCCATTCCATTCCATTCCATTCCATTCTATTTCATGTTAGGGTTAAAAACTGTTAGGTTTGGTCCGATGTGAAACAGGCCTTCTTGTCAGACTAGCAAACTCTGACCTTTCAATGATACACATTGCTAGCTCAGCAATATGGCACCAAGCCACAAGTCATCCAGCATGAGACAATGCTGCCATCAGCATGGCATGCATTGGCCACATGGCTGTGTGTGATCGCAGCAGCCTGGCAAGGATTGCCGAGTGATTCCCTTGGGCTGGAGCCGCCAGTCGTGCAATGCCCCGGGTTTGGGAGCATGCAGGGGCAAAACGTATAAACAGAGCAAGTCGCTCTGCATCGCTGAAGCAAGAGCATCAGCTGAGGTCAATGTTGCCTCTGCAGGAATGCCTGCAAGATGTTGAGACCTACTGCATCAACAGGATGCTGACCATGACCTGGCTAAGTTTCTACGACATTGACAATTGGGAAAGGCATCGTGCTCGTCGGTACACTTGTCATCACCCTGGAGTTGGTATGTTAACAAACTAACTCATTAGTAAATTCTTTGTCTTTTCTATCACTGCTCAAGTGCATCTGTGTGTGTGTGAGAGAGTTTATTTGACATCCCCGAACAGCTCATTTGCTTTATAGATAGATAGATAGATAGATAGAGATATAGATATATTTCTTGTCTAATCCTTGTTGGGCTGAACCAATCAGTTTCAGCCCCTGGAATCTAACTAGAAGCTGCACCAGAGGAGGTTCTAAATATTAGGAAAAAATTCTTTACCCTGACAGTGGGCAGACACTAGATCTGACTTCCTAGAGAAGTTGGTGATGCCTGATGCTCATTAGTGTCCAAGAGACATTTGGATAATGTCCTTAATAATATGCTTTACGCTTTGTTTAGCCCTAAAGTGGTCAGGCAGTTGGACTAGATGATCTTTGAAGGTTCCTTCAAAGGGGGATGAACTATTCTATTCTTTCTATTCTATTCATTTTAGAAAAGCTTCCAGTGTCTGTCAAGAGCTTGGCCTGAGATAATTGACTGTCTCAGTGTCAGGTGCTTTGCACAGGTCACCTGTGATTTTCAGTTCCTGGTGTGCTTTCCCTCATCAGCAAAAGAAATAGGGCAAGACCACTACGGCCCAAAAGTTAACTCAGCTGAGCATAAGGCTTCTCATTTTATTTGTGATATTTCTTTCTGTTTGACAACTACAAAATCAGCTATATCTATGTCATGAACATGAAAAACAGACATCAATCCTCTAGGGCAGGTATTGTGTATGAATTACATTTTTCTGCCTCCAAACTATTGTGTGTTCTCCAAGTAATTTTTTTAGGTAGTTAACCTGTACCTTGATTACAGAAAACACCAAACTGGGCAGAAGCATTGGTCTGCCACAGGGTAGGAAGGCCCTGCAGAGGGTCCTGGGCAGGATGGGTCGATGGGACGAGGTTCAACATGGCCAAGTGCCGGGTCCTGCACTTGGGGCACAGCAACCCCATGCAGCACTACAGGCTGGGGGCAGAGTGGCTGGAAAGCTGTGCAGAGGAAAAATATCATAGAATCACATAATGGCTTGGATTGGAAGGTCCCTCAAAGATCATCCAGTTCCAACCCCCCTGCCATAGTCAGGGATGCCACCCACTAGATCAGGTTGCTCAGGACCTCATCTAACCTGGCCTGGAACACCTACAGAGATGGGGCATCCACAGCCTCTCTGGGCAGCCTGTGACAGTGCCTCACCACCCTCTGAAGAATTTCCTCCTAGCCTCTAATCTAAATCTCCCCTCATTTAATTTAAAACCATTCACCCTTGATCTGTCATTATCCAATTGAGGAAAGAGTCATACTCAATCTGTTTTTATAAGCCCCCTTGAAGTACTGAAAGGTTGCAATGAGGTCACCCCGGAGCCTCCCCTTCCGTAGGTTTAACAGACCCAGTTCTCTCAACCTTTCTTCATAGGAGAGAAACTCCAGCCCCTTGATCATCTTTGTGGTCCTTCTCTGGACCGGCTCTTAGAGATCAACCTCCTTCTTGTGCTGGGGCCCCCAGACCTTGACGCAATACTCCAAGTGGGGCCTCACAAGGGCAGAGCAGAGGGGAACAATCTCATCCCTCGACCTGCTGGCCATTCCTCTTTTGAGGCAGCCCTAAACTAGGTTCAGCACCTTGCGCTTTGACTTCTTAAGCTTATCCAGGTCCCTTGGGTTGGCATCCCTTCCTTCTATTGTACCAACCACACCACTCAGCTTGGTGTCATCTGCAAACTTGCTGCGGGTGCACTCAGTCTTGCTGGAAACTGAGAGTGTTGGTCAATGTTGGCCTGAACATGAGCCAGCAGTGTGCCCAGATGGCCAAGAAGGCCAACAGCATCCTGGCTGGTATCAGGAATAGTGTAACCAGCAGGATGGGTTGCCCAGGGAGGTGGTGGAGTCACCGTCCCTGGGGGTGTTTAAGGAAAGGTTGGACGTGGTGCTTGGGGACAGGGTTTGGTGGGTGACATTGGTGGTAGGAGAATGGCTGGACCAGATGATGTTGGAGGCCTTTTCCAACCCTAATAATTCTATGATTCTATTCTACGATTCTATGGCTTAATGTGACCTTCACTAAACCCATTTTGGTGTTTTAAATCACTTTGATTTAAATCATCTTTGAAAACATCTAAGGCTAATTCTCTATGTAAAGTACAATTTATCTGTGTTCTCTATATGAAGTTCACTTTGGTTACGCTTGCATGTAAATCTGATGCTGACAAGCACGGAAATCTGGAGATTGCTGCTGTCCTATACTCTTCAGAATGCCTACTGGCAGTGTATTTCAGCTGACTGACATCTATTGGTCATCGATGACATGCTGAAATGCATAATAAATTATTGAATACGTTCAAAAAGGAAAAAGGACAAAATATATGTGATCATCTAAAATGATTTAAATAGTATTACATCAATACTCATTTAAAATTATTCTTCTAAAAGTCCAGTCTGCAGAAGACTAAGCATTTCTGCGGGTGAATGAGCAGACCTTTGAAGTCTGTTTCTCGTCTATGAGGTGCTCCTTGAACTTACTGTTATGATTTAATGGCAACTAAATCAGCAACGTTGGCAATAAAGTGAGATTTATAGCTAAATCACGAATCCTTCTGATTCACAGTCTTCCTTCATAATTCTGATTAAACCCTGCCAAGTCTATGCAGGCTGAATTCATAAGAAGAGGTCCTTGCTGGACTTTAAAGAGTTTAATACTGCATAGAGTACCCCAGTGATCCAGCCTGCACTGTGGCTAAAGCTGAGAGGTGAACAGCATGAAGTAGCTTGGAAATACTACATAGATACCTTGGGGGATTTGTTCACAGAGCTCCTACATGATTTCTTACCTCATTCTGTCCTTTGCCTTCTTGTTACATGTTGTCTGCCTACAGCAGAGTAGAAATATGTTTTTGTGTTCGATTTTTAACAGGAAACCAGGAGTTGATACTCTGTAAAACGTGTGAGATAAGGGGAGAAAGATATCAGCAACAGTCTGACAGCTATGCTGTCATTAGTAATTAAACATTAATGGAAAATCGTTGCAGAAGCTACCGTTCACTCATACAGAAGAGCCTGGAGATGCCAGAGTTAGCCTTGCTGGACTGCACTGGGTATATACTGACGATTTGATTCCTCAGCTGCCAAGGGTGATAAAATGGTTCTGTAAGGAATAGGCAGATCTCCATAATTTGTGCCAAATCCTAGCTGTTACTGAACAAAAAGAGGAAGATGGAGAAGGGAGCATGCTCCTGTTATCTAGGCAGTATACATGTGATGCTATGGAGAAATTCCTGGGGACAGATACCAGTTATCAGCTGCAGACTTTGAAATCCGTTCTTAATCTCCCTATGTGACCTTCAGGCCTTTAAAAAAAAAAAAAAAAAAAAAAAAACTTGTGCAAAAGTTAACATACAATATGACTCTCTTATTATGTTTATGTAATACAGGCATAATTGTTTAATAAATTATTTGAAATTGAATTTCAAAATGTTTCTATTGCAACTGGCTTTAGTAGATTTCAGAGAAGTGTTTCATTCATGTCTCGCATTCCCTTCCCTGAAGAGCTGATATTCATTACAGTAATTTGAGCATTCGGTCAGGAACATTTCAAAAAGTCACTCATTCAGCCAGACAAAAGGCGTTGAAAAGGGTTCCCAGTTCCCACAGTGAAGGAATTTTATATTGAGGTAGTTTTCACATTTTTACACGTCTAATCACTTTGCTAATCTATTCCCCAAGGCTAAGTATAAACAAAATCATTAAATAATCACAATCATTACAATCACAAACATAACTACGATTTAACAAAGACCACATTTTTACAAGATGGCATCTGTCTTCCTTGCAAGGGTTTGCAGAGGATGATGAACATGTTTTGAGAAACAACTAAGAAAGTTCCTCTAACTGAATTTCCATGCTGCCAAGGTCAGAATCAACAGACAATGCTACATGTATATTACACCCTTTTACAATCCCTTCCCAGTTTTGCTTCAAAAATGCAGACAAGACAGAAAAAGGAAGTACACTGGATACAAACTACACTGAGAAAAAAATTCAGTAATCATTCCCGGTCTTCATTCACTTATCCAATGAAGCATAACGCTGGTCAAGAAGTGCCTCAAACAGGTATAGGTGTGCAGTGCGTCACTGAAATATTTGTGTACACGGTTACGATAGGATGATGTTTGTTAATAATGCATTGTATAAACTGTGACTGTTTATGATACCAAACGTGAAGGGGGCAGAGGTGAGTGAGAATTATGACTGTGATGTTTTGTTTATATGTTTATAAAATATGACCTTGACTTTCAAGTAATACTTTGTTGAAACTCTCAGAGTCTACCACACCCTTCAGGCTGCATTCTTTGCCTCTCTCAGAGTCTCTGCACATGACCTGATACTGAGTTGACTTTAATCTTCAAAAGTGCTTATTTGGAAGAGTGTAAAATGCAGCCATAGGTCACAGTCAAGGTGTAATGACTGGCAATCCTGCTCAGTAAGGTATACGTTTATTTTTTTCATATATTTAACTCAATGTTGTAGCATTTTGCACCAATTATAGGCAAAATGGAAGGTTGAGCACAGTAGTGTGAGAAGGCTGGTTTTACAACAACATAAGATGAACACAATGTGACTTTAACAGAAGAAACTTCATTGTATGCATCCCCTCTGTGACAGGTGACTAGATGAAGAGAATGAGCTAATGACTGCCTCGAGAGAGAAAGTATTGGATGCAAATTTATTTTAACATTTGCCTATAACACTGAATAAATCATGCATACAGTCCTAACAGACAAAAGGTCTCCATACACACAACATAGGACAGAGAAACAAGGGCAGGTGGAAAAAACATCCCTTTGACCACTCTCACACTCCATTTTAAGAGTGTTCACTCATAGCCAGAGACAGCCTTCTTCAGAGCCAATTCCAGCATCATGCGGTGAGATCTGCTTCTTGCCTGTGCATCATGATCCTTTATGAAGCAGGGAAGTATCCCTTTAGCTCTATTCACAAACACGAAGGCTCTGTTCACAAATATGAAGGACATTTAGCTCCAGGCACAGCCTGTAGTCCAGCTCTCCAAAGGTTAAAAAGTCACATTAACCCATGAAATCCATATTTTTGGATGTAGAAGCAAAAGTGACTGGTTTTCACAGACTGTATGTAGTCAGAGTAGCCATCAGCTGAATCTACGTGGTCAACAGCCTCAAGTGGTCAAAGAGTCCCTTCAGAATCTTCCTGTGGGACGATTTACAGGCCCATTTGATTATTAATTTCCATACCTACCTGATGTGAGTAGGGCTAGCTTGCATCCTGCACCCTAAAGTCTTTCCAAAGCAGATACACTTTGGGACATGATAAGAAGTATGCCTCCTTGCCAGTGTGTTCTCCTCCAGGCAGTGTGCTTGTTCCTGTGTAGCCCTCACCAGAAAACAAGTGAACTTCTTGAACATGATCCTAGACCTGGTACATGCTAGATGCCTGGGTTACCTGCGTACAATGATACCAGGACCATCATGAGCGCAGTAATTTTTATAACACTGCAAATAACAGGCAGGAAAAGAAGGAAACATGCAGCCCATAAAAGATCGCAGGTGGCAGTCCTGACTTCTTCAAAGAGAATGATGCGTTATAAAGCTTGGTCTATCTTGCCTCTTAGGAAAACACAGGACTGATTGTCAGAAGCAAAGGAGAACTTGCAGAGATGTTTCTGGCTCGCTGTAACAGGCAGGATCTGCTACATGTCATGCAATTATCTTCTGAACTCTTCAATACAGCCAAAGTAAATAACTGGATGAAGAACACAAACTACCTTCTGATAAGGAAATGATAGGAATGTACATGACAAGAGCAGGTGTAGAGTCCTGCCCCTGGGAAGGAACAACTTGAAGTATCAGTACAGGCTGGGGGCTGACCTGCTGGAGAGGAGCTCTGAGGAGAAGGGCCTGGGGATCCTGATGGACAACAGGTTGGCCGTGAGCCAGCAGTGTGCCCTGGTGGCCAAGAAGGCCAACGGGATCCTGGCGGGCATTAAAAGGAGCGTGGCCAGCAGGTCAAGGGAGGGGATCCTCTCCCTCTGCTCTGCCCTGGCCAGGCCTCACCTGGACCACTGTGCCCAGTTCTGGGCTCCCCGGCACAAAAAAGACAGGGATCTCCTGGAAAGAGGCCAGTGGAGGGCCACAAAGATGATACGGGGCCTGGAGCATCTCCCCTGTGAGGAGAGGCTGAGAGACCTGGGGCTGTTCAGCCTGGAGAAGAGAAGGGGCTCTGGGGGATCTCATTAATGCATAAATAACTGAAGGGAGGATGCAAAGACAGAGCCAGACTCTCTTCAGTGGTGCTCAATGACAGGCCAAGAGGCAGTGGACACAAAATCAAACATGGGAGCTTTGCATGAACATCACAAAGCACTTCTTTACTGTGTGGGTGACAGAACACTTGCATGGGCTGCCCAGAGATGTTATTGAGTTTCCCTCCTTGGCAACTTTCAGAAGATGCCTGGATGTGGTCCTGTGCACCTGGTTCTATGTGACCTTGCTTGACTGGGTGAGAGGGGCAGAGTTGGACCCTTCTTACCCCAAACGTTCTGTGATTCTGTGATTATCAGTTTAGCAAGTCAACTTGGGGTTTCTGCACAAGCTTGAAGCTTCCAGGATGTTTCCCACAGGTGACAGTGGATCAGTGGCTAGGCAGGGAACCCACCCTGATGAAAGCTCTCCTCTGCTCTGAATACACTGCGCTACTCCCTACAGCCCTGATTCCCAGGTTCTGTTGGGAAATGCAGTCCTCAAGATTTAGTCTGCAGTAGACTTGTACAAGGTGCTATAAAACTGAAACTTTCAGTCCCACTCCTGCCACTTCTTTCTTGGTTTCCTTTGTTGTTTCTTTTTTTGTGTGTGTGTGTGTCCCTGCTTCTCCCATAGATACAACCTTAAACTGTACAATCTTCCTGTTATTAGAAATCTCATAAAGCAAATACAAAATGGAGATTTGGTTCCCTTCTTTAACCCTCTCTTACACAAGAGAGAAGGAAGTAGACAGACTACCAAAGAAGATAAATAAATAAATAAATAAATAGAGTAAAATAAAAACACCCAAAAAAACCACAAAATTGTCATGAGCTTTTATTTCATATACAGTAGCATACAAACATGGGCAGACTCTTTCTTCACAATATTGCCACCAAAAACACACACACCACACAACAAAATAAAATGACAAAAACATAAATCCCGTCAAGTCAATGTTGACTTAACAAACAGGAAAATCCATTGAAAGAAGGGAACTTCTATATATAACTATGAGGAAAAGGTTACTAGCTGCAGTGCTTGTCTGCCTCTATTCCATAAATTCACAATAAACTATTAGTACAAGTAACAGATGGAGAATTTTTTGGGTGTGAAAGTGTAGCTGAACACTTCTAACTTGTCCCCAAGTTGCATGCTACAGTTCTGTTATAAACATACACATACCACATGCAGACCTACTGGCTCAGGCACTTATCCAACCAATTAGATAGTATGTGCTGGAAAAGATGATAAACCTATACTGCTACATGTATGTGTGTAGGGGAAGGCAGATCACAGGTAGATTTAAATATTAAAAGGGCTGGAGAAGACTACTCAGTTTGACCCATCATGTTCCAATCCAGATAAAATAGTAAAAGCCAAAACAATGAATGCAGAAATTTTTCACTCCAGTCAAGCGTGACACAGCTCATGTAGACAGAGGCACAACTCAGGAAGGGAGAGCAGTCAGCTCAAGAAAAGGCTCAGCTCAGGGTGAGATGATGCTTCCTCAGCATCTCAGATAAGGCTTAGTCTTCTTGTTGCCAAAACTGCCCTGTTGGTATTACCTGACCTGACTACTTCAAGATTCCCCCTAGCATGTCTACATGAGGCAAGAGCTTCAGTTTGACTATAGTGGAGGTGGAGACTAAATATTGATTTTTGAGAGTATGTGATCTTGCAACACAAATGCACAAACTTGGCACATCTTCTTCGGATTGTTTCATCCTTTTTCAAAAGCACCCAGAGCAGGCAGCATTGGCACAGATTTCGCACAAATCAGCGTCTCTGACAGCCGTGCCTGTTAGAGAGAAAAGAAAGTGTTTCACTGGGATAGCAAAGCAATATATACCAAGAGAGCAGAGCCACACATCAAGTGGCTGAGAGGCTCCTTTCTGTTGCTGTTCAATGAATTTTGATGTCATTGAAGTTATTGTTGGCACAAGAAAAACTAGATCTTGAGAAAATCTTGCTTAAAATAATGAGAACAAACCTGAAATCACCGGGAGAACAATGGTAACATGTGGAAACAAGAGAACAGCAGGACATCTTGTGGGAGGGCGGTGAGGATGCTACCTTTTTCCTCTAAAGTGGCTTGTAGAATTACAGCTTTAGTTATATAGGTAGCATTTCTTCCTAAGGTTTCCACTGTATTGGACAGTAAGTTAATAAAACATAATAAAATTATATATATATATATATATAAACACTGAAGCAGGTGGCTCAAGAATCACTCCATGTGCCTTGGAGACACAAAATGCTGAAGACTAATTCACCTCATCTACATCTCACACCTCTTTTAGGGTATCCAGAAATACACAGCTACTTGGAAGAAACTTTTTGGGTTTTGTGTTTACAACAGTGTGGTCTGCACAGGCTACAATTAAGCACCGTAGCAGTGGTGCTACAATTTCAATATTTGAGGTTGAAAAATGTGATTTAAAAAAAAAAAAGGAAATCATGCAATATGAACTACATACTCAGCCTCTCGAAAATCATGGGTGCATCTTCTCTTTTACACACAACTTGGAACTCCTCAGGAAGATCTTTCTCGTTGCATGGAGAATAGGTAGTCTTTGAAACCACCATGCGAGGATTAATGCTTCTGTTCTCATCCATGAGCTCCTTTAGCTTCTTCACAGATTCAAGGGAGAATTTCAAGTCGCCATCCTAAGTAGATAGAACAAGAAAAAAAAAAAGAACAGAGGCATCAGGGAGTTAGTCCTTAGGCAAATGTATTCCATTTCAACTGAAGACTGCTAAACTGGGAGCTCTCTCCACATACCTCTACTATAGGGAAAAGGGAATGTTGGAATAAAGCTTAAAGAAATTTGGTGCTCAATGAAAGTAAAGGGAGCAGCTCTTCAATACATACACCCTTCAGAGCAGCAGGAAGACCTGGCTGGCTTGTCAGGGTTTTTGTTAAGCACCTCAGTGGGTGGAGGCACAGTTAGTGCATTTCCCACTCTTGTGAGAGAGACATAAAATCTAAGATAGAAGGATATGGATTGAGAAACATCAGCCTAGAAAAGAAATGATTGGGTGATATGTCATAGAGATTTACAAAATCATGAGCTGAATGCACGCGAATGGAGATTTATTTTGTTCACTCTTTCTTCTAATACATTAGTAGAGAACTTCAGGTCTTGGCTGTCACGTGGCATGCTCAAAACAGAGAAAATTCCTTTGCATTCAACATTAAGAGCTGAACCTCCTCATCACAAGATACTGTGACAAGTTTCCATGAACTTAAAACTCGTCCATACGATTTATGGAACACAAGTTGAGAAAAACTAAATGCATCGCTTCTGACTCAAAGATCATGCCAAGGCTTTGGGAGGCTTGAAGAGTAAGAATTACTCTTATTGAAAAGTACTAAGTATTACTCTTCAATGAGGAAGTATTACTCCATGTTATATACTGTTTGATCCTGTGTGACTGTTAACGTCCATTCCCTCACAGTTTCAACAGAATCACTGTTGAGGTAATAAACATAAATTGAACATGTTGCAATTGTTAAGTGCATATAATCTGTGTTAGTATGAAGGCAATCACAGTCTGGCCTAAAAGAGGAATAAGCATTTTCAATTTGTTATTTAGCATTTGCTTTATCCTTGTTTAATGAACAAGAAATAATCAGAAGTATGATCAAGTGACACCTACATATTCAAAGAAATGAATTTAATTGAGCCTGCTATGGCATACAATCAAATATTTTTTGCTTCATAGTCTCATTAGCTTGATGTTCAATTGTGTGAGAGTGGGGTTTTTTTTGGGGGGGAGGGAGAGGTGTTGGTTAAAGAATACTAAAAATAAAGAATACTAAAAAACCAACCGTGGACATGCATTTGTTTAACAAGTCAAACTCTTTTCTACTCCCAATTAATTTATGATTTTTCTCAGAATAGTTTATCAGACTGGCTGCCTGTGAAAAGTTAATTATTTAGAACACAGCTCTAAATTCAACTATCAGATGCAGACTCTACAAGCACAAAACAGAGAAAAAAAAAGGAAGAATTTCCACGAGAACAGTACCAGAGAAAGCAGAAAGGGGTGAAGCGAGCTTTATTCAGTCCTTTCACATAGGATTTATCCTTATTATCACTGCTTAGTAAGGATGAACATTTATGAGAGATAGATTTATGAGGTACATTTATGTCCTGGTGACAAAATAAAACAAAACAAACAAACAAAAGCATCAACACCATCTCAGAAAAGAAAAGTGTGTCAGAGAGAGCTGAGTCTGAGCAGCGTCTTCTCTCCAAGGTAACAGCGCATGCTGTTCTGCTGAACTAGCAGATTTTATCACAGAAATAGTCTAAGCCAGCACTTTAGGTTTTTTTGGTTGGTTGGTTGGTTGGCTGGTTGGTTGGTTGATTCTTGATTTTTTCTGGGTTTATTCCACAATTAGCTAGCCATCCTCTTCCAATTTTCATCCCAGTAATTCAAGATCTGTGCAAGAAACTGTCTAGATACTGATATTCAGCCTTTAAAAACACTCTACAAAATCCGATAAATATTGCTTGTGGCTTGCAAACATTTTGTTAAATCAATGCTTTCTGTGACATAGTATGGGAAAGGGAAGAAAAGTCTTGGAAAGATTTTTCAGAGAAAAGTATGTAAGCCAACTTTGTGCACTGAGTTAGTCAGACATCAGGGAAATTAAGTAGTCCAGCTGAAAAGAGTGCAACACACATGCACAGTACATGTGTGTCATGTCCTATAAGAGGCAGAGAAAATATAAATGTAGTGATTAAATGTCAGACAACAATCTGGAGAAAAGAAAAAAAACCAGCTCTATTAATTTAGTTCAACATTCCTGTTGTAGCTACAGCTCTTCATACAATACAAATATATCACTGAACTTGAAAAAAAAAAAAAGGCAGAAAACTCACCTGGACATAGACTCCCTGGGAGCTGTGCACCAGTGAAAGGAGTATAAGGACCGTAAAGGACAGAAAGCCTTTCATAGCACCTGCAAAGTGTAGCCTCTCCTAGCCTGAATATATTTTCTCTTGCTTTGTCTCTCCGATTTGCTCTAGTTGTCAGAGCGCTATCTCCCCGGTGCAAAAAAAATAAGCTTTATAAAGCCTTCACACAGCACTTGCTTGGTAATCCATTAACCTAAACTCCTTATAGGCATACAATAAACCTTCAGTGGCCTATCAGTTATCTACTCCTTGGAAAAGCAGGACAGTCACACCCAGGCAAATACTGGTGTTTATGACTCTCTCCCACTTTCAGAAACTGGCCAAGACAGGCAGGAAAATCACTGCGGCCACTGGCACATAGATAGGAAACGTTGGTCTTAGTTCTAACACAGCATCCAAAACCGTCTCCATGTGGGGAATGGATGGGCAAAGATGGTCTTGGAGGTCTTTCCCAACATTAATGATTCTATGATTCCATGGCTTGGAAGCAGGTAAATTAATAAACAATTAAAGAAGTTGCTCTCTTGCACTGATTGGTGGCCAGTCAGTTCTGAGCTGATTGCTGAGCACGCAGTTCTCCTGGGACTGCAATCCTGAGAGGGAAGCAATGCTCTGGAGCAGATGAGCACAGGGTGTGCCCGAGTGTCAGCACATCCACAGTGTCATCTTGCTTTTGGCAGCACCTAATTAAAACGCACGCATTACAGGGGTTGCCATTAAAGATAACAACCTCCAATTTGCTGCAATGCAACAAATCTGTTTCTCTGTGGCCTTCAATCTTATCCAGAAACATGGAAATAGCACATGGATATTTATCTCCTCTTATTCTCTAATAAGCAGACCTGGACTATTAATGAGAGCTTCTCAGTCCCCTTGGGCCCTGGTTTTAAAGGTTTCTGGGGTGCCCTCCTAGTGTCTCTCCCGACCTTTCCTCTAGGCTCCCTTTGGGTACAGGAAGGCCGCTATAAGGTCTCCCCAGAGCCTTCTCTTCCCCATGCCACACAACCCCAGTGATCTCTGTGAGTATTGAGCAGTTTGGCTAGAGCACTTGCTGGTGAAGAGCAAGGCAAAAAAGTGGTTGAGTGCCCCAGCTTTCTCCTTCTCCGTTGTAGACAGGCCTCCCATTTCACTCACCATGGAGGGTACAGTTTCTTTTATCTTCCTTTGTTGTTCTATGTAATTAAAGAAACCCTTCTTGTTATTTTTTTACATCTCTAGCCAAATTCACCTACATCTGTGTCTCAGCTTTCCTAATTCCCTCTCTGTTTTTCTGGGCTATGTCCCTTTAATATTACCACCACCAAAGCTTTCTTCCTAATTGTCTTCTCAGGCTGATTCGTTCCATGCACAGAGGACGTGCCTGGTACAGCTGGCCAAATGCTGCTGCACAGCCACAGGTGCTGGGTTACTCACAGCCCAGAGCTCCGTGGGCATCACTGCCCCATGGCAGAGTGGGTCAAGAGCACAGACATCGGTGGAAGAGCACCCGGCAGGCTCTGCTGGCAAATAGGTTGGCACCTGAAGAGACAAAATAAGTACTCGGAGGAATGGGCAAGGTGGCCCAGTCTTAGGAGATGTCTGAAGGATGATTAACTGAGGAACTGCCAATCACAAACACCATTATATTGACATATTGAGTATGTGTGATCAGGATTCCACCCACACTCACATTTGTATAGTCATCAGTGGGTCCTGTGCACTGACAGTCCTGATTTTTGAATCCCTTGGAGGGGAAACTCCAGCATGCACATGTCTCCCACTTTCTGAGTTCCAGAAAATGCCATGTCTCCAGGGGGTCTAAGCCATTTCTGTGCGATGCTCTACCAAACTTCAGCTAGTCTAGTAATTCCACAGAAACACCAGAGCTGGAAATTATGGGATAACCTCTCAAGTTGGGAAGGGTACTTTCTACTCCCTGCTCTTCAGAAGCTTAGATTTATTTATACTTGCACTGTCAAACAAGCTGTGTTTGACACATACAGAGTGTTTACCTGCAGAACCCCTACAAGTGCAGATTTGGTCTCACTTTTCATGACTTGTCATGAAAAAAGTCAGCCATTCATGGCTGACCTTTTGGAATCCTTCTGGCCTCGGTGAAAACTGGCAGCAGCTCAGACATAAACAACAATCTCATTTAGAGCTTTACTAGAGAGTAAACGTGTTTATGGAGTTGGCTCTAAATAATATTTTCCTGTTAAACTCTTTTATGATCGGGAACAACTTACAGGCCTCTATTGTGCTTCCTCCATAGTTCTTTATCTCATTTGTTTTTTTCTAAAGACTGACCACTTTTTAAATCTGATCATTTTATATTAAAAAAAAAAAAAAAAAAAAAAATCAGGCAAGGGCCTACAGCTAGGCTTAGCAAGCCACAATTAATACATAACTCAGAGCCCTGCCACAAGCCCTGTGAAAACGGGGAGACAGAGAGCCAAGAACCACATGAAGTTAAGAGCATGCACACCAACGTGGCTGACAGTTGCATGTAGTCTTCCAGAAGGTGTGTCAGGCTCTAAACTACTTCAGGAGCAAGGCCCTGAGCTCTCTCTGGTGTAGGACGGGTGCAATTAGCGAGAAGCTGTGGTATTCAACGCAGCCATAGCGCCACCAGAAGAGCACAACACTGCACGCCACCAGGCTCCCGGAGCAGATTGCTGGCACAGGGAGGCAGGACAGGCTCCAGGCGGGGTGAGACGTGGCTGCCACCACGGAGATGGTGTCCAAGGGCTCTGAGCCCAGCTAAAGCCCTGGCACACCAGTGGCGTGCTGTAATATTATGGCTGAGCACAGCCACAGTGGGGTCTTTTAACATCATAGCTGTGCACAGAGTCACAGCATGGTGTGGTAACACCATGGCCAAGCATCAAGTCACCACAGGGCCTTGTTAACATTAGTGCTCAAAAGAAAGTCACAACAGGACCTTGTGACCTCAGAATCACAGTAGGTAACATCATAGGGCTGCAGTGTCACAGGAGGGCCTTGTGACATCAAGGCTCGGCAAAGAGTCATAGAGGATGATTAAAAAATCATAGCCTGACACGGTGTAAAAGCTGGGCTTTGTGACCTCAGTTCCCAGCACGAATTCACAGTGGGATTTTGTAAAATCATGGAATGGCAAAGAGTCACAGCCTTTGGACAACGTCACAGTGGGTCGCTGTAACATCATGGTCATGCACAAAGTGCAGTACTGTAACATCATGGCCCAGCAGAAAGTCACAAAAGGGCCTTGAGACCTCACAGCCCAGCACGTAGTCACTGCGGGTTGTTGTAACACCACAGCCCATCACAGGCAGCAGGGCCTTGTGACCTCCCAGAACAGCACAGAATTGAGCATTGTAACATCACAAACCAGTACGGTGCCACACGAGGGGCTTTCTGACCTCGTACCCCGGCACAGAGTCCCAGTTTGGTGTTTGGTGGCAGAGGACAGAGTCACAGTGGGGCCTTGTAACATCACGGCCCAGTACAGCATCACAGGGTGGCACTGTGACACCACGACAAGGTGTAGGGTCACAGTGGGGCTTCCTAACATCAGTGCCTGCCACAGACTGACGGGACCCAGCAAAGTGTCACAAAGGGGTACTTACTGTAACATCAGGCCTCTGAAGAGCGTCACAGCAGGGCTTTGTCGTACCACGACCTGACACAGCCACAGTGGGGCGTTGTATCACCACGGATCTGCGGAGCATTGGCACTTTGTGAAGTAGCCACAGCTTCATAGTGGGACTGTGTAACACCATGAGCCAGAAGAGTCCACGCAGGGCCTTTGGACATCATGTCCTGGAAGAGAGTACGAGCAGGGTGTTGTAATATCATGGCCCAGCACAGTGTCACTACAGGGCCTTGTGACTTCACGGCCCAGCACAGTCACAGCGGGGCGTTGTATCATCATGGCTTTGCAAAGTGTCAGAGCGGGTCTTCTGACCTCAGGGCCGAGCACAAAATCACTGTGGGGCATTGTAATATCGTGGCCAAGGACCAAGTCACAGTGTGGATGTGTAACATCACGGCCATGCATAGTCACGGTGTGGAGTTGTACCATCATGGCCCAGCACAGCCTCACAGCAGGGCCTTTGGACATCACAACGCGACAGAGTCCCAGTAAAACTTAGGAACACCAGTGCCTGGCACAGGGTCACAGGACATGTAATTTCACGGACCAGCACAGAGCCACAGTTGGGCATTGTAACATCATGGCTCATCTGTCTCTTCTCCGCCCTGGGGAGGCCACACGTGGAGTATTGTGCCCAGTTCTGGGCTCCCCAGCACAAGAGGGACACATCCAAAACCCTCCCAGACACATCCCTGTGTGACCTGATCTAGGTGTTCCTAAGGATTGGACTAGATGATCTTTCAAAGTCCCTTCCAATCTCTAAAATCTGTGTTTCTGTGATTCCCAAGGAGCCTTCCTCTTATCTTCTGGTCTCTGGAGACCTCACAGGGCTCTCTAGTACACTCCGCTTCACTCTAGATCCTCCACATTTCCACCAGGGCCACCCAGTGCACTCTACCTATCCCTGAAGTCCTCCCAATGACACCCAGTGTCCTTTAGGATGCCCTAGAGGCCTCCCAGTGCAGCCTTCAGGCCTCCTGTGGCCCTCCAGTGTTCTCTGGGACCTTCCGGAGGCCTTGCAGGGCCTTGCAGTGTACCCTAGCACACCTTGAAGGGCTCGCTGGACACTCCAGTGACCTCTACAGTCCCCTACAGCCACCCCAGTGCCCTCTGCTGTGCTATACTGCCCCCAGCAGGCCTCCCAACACTCCCAGGACACTCTAGCATGCGATAACTGGTCTCCCAGTGCACCCTACAGGCCTCCCAAGGACCCTTCCTCTTATCTACTGGTCTCTGGAGGCCTCGCAGGGCTCTTTAGTGCACTGCAGGGCACACTGGAGGCCTCCAGAGGCCCTCCATGCCACACTAGATCCTGCACATCTCCACCAGGGCTACACAATGCCCTCTAGCTCCCTCTGGAAGGCTCCCAGTGGCACCCAGTGTCCTTTAGGATGCCCTAGAGGCCTCCCAGTGCAGCCTCCAGGCCTGCATCAGATGCTTTAGGTTTGGATTGAGACAGAGACCCTGGGGGAGCCACGGGCTGAGCATGGGCTGTAATCACAGAGGTGAACCCCATTTTGTGTCTCCCCTACCCTTTGCTCAGAGATGGTTTCCAGGCCAGAATCACCCATTCATCTCCTAGGAAAAGCAAGACAAAGTGGTTGGAAAGGGGATTAGAAAATTAGATCTTGGTAAAGAGACAAATTCCTGTTCATTCCCTGCGCTCATATTCCAGTTTCCAGCTAGCACCACAGGCAGCACATGAGGGACAAACAGGCTCATCCTCACCGCTCACTCATGCTCTGGCCCTGGTAAATGCAGAGATGTCACAGCTCTCCAAAATCGCAGCATGTCTGTGCCTGGGGCAGGCAGCTGGGGCAGTGGGACAGGGCCTGGGGCTCACCCGTGCATCCCCAGAAGCATCCTCCCAGGGGAAGCGTGTCAACGAGAGCTGGCTCTGTCCGACCCTGGGACCGCAGTGGGGCTGCACCCACAGCTCCGGTTTGTGCCAGGGTCAGTGGCACTGGCACTGGTCTCCTCCAGCAGAAATTGCAGCTTTTCTTTGGAAAAGAAAAGAAAAGAAAAGAAAAGAAAAAAAAAAAAAAAAAAAAAAAAAAAACACCTTCCAGTAATAAAAAATAAAAAGATATCAGGCTTTGCCAGGTACCCCAAGGTATTGGCTCTGAAAGGTGAGGTGCTATTACGGGGTGCCTGACACCACTTACAAATTCAGAAGTGTCTCCTGAATGAGAAGGGACGGAGAAGCCAGCAGGTCATGCTGGGTCCTCCGACTTCTTGCCTCCTGCCTGCCAAAAGGCAAGTTGCTCTGGGTTCACCCAGGGTCGCCCCTGCAAAGACTGAGCCCCAAAAAAAAAAAAAGAAAAAAAAAAAAAAAAAAAAAAAAAAAAAAAAACAGAGTGGAGGGGCAAGACCCCTGGCTGTCTGAGTGAGGCTGCAGCCCTTTTTTCCCTTGGTATCCCTCCCTGCCTGCGGATGGCTAGAAAACTATCCAGCAAGTCCTTTGCATGCCTCTGGCTGCTTTCTGAGAGGGCAGCTGTGTGGTACTGAATGCAGGTTTTGTTGCTCTTTATCTGGTTATGCAAAATTCGTCTCTTATCAGCCGACACAGGGGATGGTGGAACCTCGTGCTCAGCGTTGCCTGCTGGGCTTAGCTGCAGATTGCTGCTGACCTGCAAAGAGAGCGTTGGGGGCTCCCACGTTAGCAGAAGCAGCGGCTGAGGGGATGCAGAGCACGGTGCTGGCAGAGAGGGAAACTCTGGCTGCCACTTCACGGAGTTTAGACCAGATCCCTGTTTCCATTAGGACTGTGTTTTCATTTCATTTCATCTCCTCCTCTCCCCCTTTCCAGCCCCACCTCCTCCGAATCAGCATTTCTGCATCCTTCTCCGTGCATACCAGAGCAGCAGGTAAAAGGCTGCCTGGCACCTGCAGGCACACTCACACACACCCCGGCACCCCAAACGCACCTCTGCCAGGGGACGGACACCTCCAGGCGGCTTCCCACACTCCTGCGTGTGGCATCTTCCTCTCCATGGGCGATCTTGGCTGGCAGCATCCCCGTGCCTGCCTCAGGGCTGCTCTGCCTCTCCTCGCTGCCTCCCGCTGCAGCAGCAGAGCTCAGGCACGGAGGAGCTCAGCGGAGCCCCGCTGCCCCAGGGGACAGAGCTCTGTGGGTGGGCAAGCACAGCTGGGAGGCACGAGCTGAGCATCGGGGGGTCCAAAGCATCCTGAGCACCTCGTGGTCCTCCTTATCCCCTGGTCCAGAGCATCTGGAGCATCGCAGAGCGTCCTGACGCCCAGAGCACCCCACGCATCTCCAGCATCCCGGCATCCGGAGCATCCCCAGCACCCAGCAGCGCAGGGGGGATTTGCAGGGATGAGGAAACGCCTGGCTGTGAGTAACGGGGAGGGGAACCTTGCCGCTGCTGGTCGGCTCCTGGGAACGTCTCTCTGCCCTGATTATCGGTGAAAAGAGAGAGCGGGGGAAGAGAGGGAGAGGAGGAGAGCGGAAAGGAGGGCAGAGAGAGGGAGAGAGGTGGCACTTCTCACCCTGGGGCTGGCTCCAGCGATGATCACCTAGCGCAGGTGACAGCTGGAGGGAGTCCCCAGAGCTGCAGAGCCAGCCCTGCCGCCCAGCTCCTCATGGAGGGTGCTTTGGGGTCCCCCAACGCCAGCGTGCTGGGGGAGCGCTCGCTGCTGGTGGGCAGCAGCTGGCTGGCTGCCTTCCTCTGCTTCATCATCCTGCTGACCACGGCGGGGAACTTCCTCCTCATCCTCCTCATCGTCAGCCAGCGCTCCCTCCGCAACACCTCCAACTACTTCCTGGTGTCCCTCTTCATGTCCGACCTGATGGTGGGGCTGGTGGTCATGCCCCCGGCCATGCTCAACCAGCTCTACGGGCGCTGGGTGCTGCGGGGCGACTTCTGCTCCCTCTGGTACGCCTTCGACGTCATGTGCTGCAGCGCCTCCATCCTCAACCTCTGCGTCATCAGCTTGGACCGCTACCTGCTCATCATCTCCCCCCTCAAATACAAGCTGCGGATGACCTCCTGCAGGGCCCTCTGGCTCATCCTGGCCGCCTGGACCTTGGCCGCGTTGGCCTCCTTCCTGCCTATCAAGATGGGCTGGCACAAGCTGGAGTTTGAGGTCCGCTCCCCAAATATCACCTCGCGGGGGGACGAGGAGCAGTGCCGGCTTGTGGTCAGCTTGCCCTACGCGCTGGTGGCCTCCTGCCTGACTTTCTTCCTGCCCTCCGCCGCCATCTCCTTCACCTACTGCCGCATCCTCCTGGCAGCCCGCAAGCAAGCCGTGCAGGTGGCTTCCCTCACCTCCAACGTGGCCACCGCCACCTCCGACGAGGTCACGGCACAGGTAAGGGAGCAAAACAGCCCCGGTGTCCCCTCCAGGAGGACAGCAGGCAGGGCAGGGAAACGCTTCATGAGACCTGGGCTTCCCAAATGCAGCCTGGGAGCTCCTCTCACCCGTCCTGCAAACCCCCAGATGTGTGCCAGGGCTAAGACTGAGCACTTTGCTCTGCTTTCCTCCACCCCAGCCTTGCTGTGGGGTCCCCCAGAAGGAGCAATTACCCCCAAAACTGCCAGGAGGCTCCTTGCAGCTTGAGTCTTAATACATGGGGGCTCCACCAACCCCCAGCCCAGCCCGGTGCCTTGTCCCCTTGTGCCACCGCCACGTCTCGGCCCCAAGATGCAGGTGGGGATGGGGTTTGCATGTTTGAGCCACGTGCTCAGGGCACTCGTGGTGGGACAGGAGCAGGGAAGCCTCATCCTGCTCTCACAATTCACAAAGAGCCAAGGCTGTTGCTGCCAGCCACCAGCATCATCTCTCATGCTCCTGGGAAGCAAAACTTTGTACAGGCAGGTGCCGAAAAGACAGTAAATAAATGGGTATTAACCCAGCAGGTGCAGCTGGTGCAGGGAGCACAGCCGGGCACCTTCCAAAGCTTACCGAGAGGAATGAGCCCCTGAATTCCCAGCACAGGGACGTGGATGGCCTCAGGGCTGCAGCCAGGGAGGGGATTTGGCAACTGGAGGGAGAAATCCACCACCAGTGTGGGAGGACAGCAGCTCTGTGGTGTCCTTCGAGGTGCTGATGCCTTGTCCCAGCAATGGAGCACAGGAAAAGCAGGACTATGAGCAGCGAAATAAATTAAGATAAAGGCACAAATGTTCCATGGTGCAAAATAAAAGCAGTTTTGTCTCCCTCTTGACTAGCATCATCCCAGGGCGTTTAATCTTATCTGACTTTGGGCTCGTAACTCTTGGCCATGGTGAGCATGAGACATCTGGGGGAGAAATTTAAGTAAAGGCAAGTACAGAATTCTGAAGGGCAGCTTATTTTAAACATCCAGCTTCTATTTTTGTTACCTGGTCTACAATAGGAACTGCAAAGTACCTCCTTACTCGAGACTCCTGCCTGAACCAGGCTGTGTGCTTTTAGAATCAAAACGTTGCACTTGGGGTTGTTTGTATTTGTCCAGGAGAAGGCAATTGCTATTAAATCTAACAGCTTTAATTCCTTGTAATAGGTTTATTGACCTCATATCCCACAGGGAAAATACAAAGTTAATTGCCTTCAAATACCTTGATTTAGCTTGTTCTCTCTCTTTTAAGAAAGGAGCCAGAACTCTGACCCAGCCAGCCCTCCTGCACATGACGAGATGTACCAGACATTCAAAAGGAAAATGAGAATCAAAGGACAAGCAGCCAATATCATTAAAATGTTTGTTTTGTTTTGTTTCCCCCTGGATGCCAGGTTTTTGGACTCTACAACCCAAACCTTCTTTGGGCTTTAGCTCCCTTCAAGCATTTTAAACTGGATTTTTGCTCTTTTTGGGCAGGAAGTAGCAATAGGCCTCACCTAATCATGGCACAGGGCTGAGATAATTATTTTAGATGGCAAGAACGGGAAAAGGAATGGGTTAGTTATGGTGTTTGTCAGCTGAAACGTTTGGCTTCCTGCTTTTAAAACGCAATTAGTTTGCTGCTCTATCGGCAGCTAGAGATGCCTCTTCAGGGCATGCTTTATCCTCACCGAAACACTGACGGAGATGGCTTTTTCTGTACAAGAAGCATCTCGATGATAAAGTCCCTATTTTACAGGGGAAAATAAAACAAAAAACCTCTCAATGTTGAGGGTTTCTATTGCTTCCTCTGCCTGCTTTATGATTCAGGCACTGTGGCGTGGGCCATCCTCCTGCCCCAGTAACAAGGGAAGTAATAGCCCTTTTTTTCTGTTTTTTGCAGGTTTTTGCAGCACCAAATGCCACTTCCCTCGGGCAGGAGGCTGGCGCCAGTGCCAGCAGCTCCAGCCTGGGGTGAAGCAGTCTCTCACCGCCCGTGTCCCGCTGCAGGTTCCCCGTGCCCCCAGCCAGCCCCCGGCCGGCAGCGAGAGCAGGAGGTTCGCCAGCAAGCACAGCAAGAAGGCGCTGAAGGCGAGTCTGACGCTGGGCATCCTCTTGGGCATGTTCTTCGTGGCCTGGCTCCCCTTCTTCATCACCAACATGACACAGGTAAGCACGCGTTTTGTTGTTTTTTTTTTTAACCAGGAAGGGCTGTTTTTCAAAAGCATTTCACAGCCGGGCTCGAGGCTCAGCTGCCTGCACGTCTCGCCAGAAAGCTGCGGTTTCCTGGGGGAGAAAAACCCTTCAAAAGCAAGGGAAAATGTTGGTGGACCTGGGAAATGCTCAGGGTTTGGGAAATGCCACTAATCCTTGCCGTGTCTCCCCGCCAGGCAGTGTGCGAGTGTGTCCCAGCCGGCTTCTTCGACGTGCTCACCTGGTTGGGGTACTGCAACAGCACCGTGAACCCCATCATCTACCCGCTCTTCATGAGGGACTTCAAGAGAGCCATGGGCAAATACCTGCCCTGCTGCCGGCGCTCGGGGCAGCCCCGGCCCAGCGCCATCTCCCTCTCCATGAGGAACTCCAACAGCGGGCCCCGCGTGGCCACGTCCCTCAAGAACGTCCTCACCTTGCAGGCTGACACCGACTCCGTCGACTCTGGGGCAGCGGTGGACGAGCACAGCCTCCCGCCGGCTGCTGACGCTGCCCAGGCTCTCCTGGCCCCCCACGTCCGCTTGGTTAATATTTTTGACACGGAGTCTCATGAAGAGGAGCTGCAGCACCGGCAGCTCGGCACGCCGGTGGCCTGAGAGGCCGTCTGTGGGGCTGCAGATGGGGGAGGCACAGTTTCAAAGCCTGGTGTCCCAGGTAGAATTGCCCTGGCACAATGCAAACCCTCCGGGAGGACAACCACAAGGCATTTCCCTGCCCACACTGAGCTCCTCCATACCTTCCTCAGTGAAACTCGCATCTCCTTGGTGCTGTTGCTGAGCACTTCTGCAGGTAGGTTTAGAGCGCAAAGCCATGTTTTACTGCTGAATTAATCTGCCTTGTTTCTCCCTCTTTCTGTCTTTTTACTCACCAATTCCTCACCCTTCTCCACGAGCTGCTTCTCACGGCCTTTTCACAGCCCGTTGATCTGATCCTCGCACCTTTTTGCCAGTCTCCCTGCACTTCAGCCAAGGGCAGGTTCTTCAGCTTCCACTCGTACAGCTCAGCACATCCCCTCTAACTCATGCACGAGGTGCACCAAGGGAAGAGGAAACACATCCTGTGACTCACGGGCAACAGGTTTGGGGCTGCTTCAGTCCACAGAACATCGTGTCTGCTTGGAGTTTAATTCTCTCGCCCGATTTGGACCGTAGCTGTCAGTTTCCTGTGAAAGCAGCAAGCTGCAGCACGCTGAAACCATCCGGTTTAATCATGAACAGCCTGCACCACGGGGGATTAAATCTGATGCAAAATGTTCAGCACTGCCTTTTGGATATTCCACAAGGGTGTGGGTGTTCGACTTGTTTGTGGCTCTCTGGATATCCTGACAGTAGTAAGGAAGGAAATCAGCTTCCCTTCAGCTCTCATCCTACAGCTTCCTATTTTTGGCATGACCGTCGTACTTTGCTCTTGACAATCCACGAGTTTTAAGATGATGCAATTAGAAAAGAGACATTTCTGTTCTTAAATCAGAATATTGACTTCCAAACAATAATGCCACCCCCCTCAACCCTCCTCAGAGCCATAAGCAGGGAGAATAGCGAGCAGTGTGGCCAGTGGGCACTTTACAAAAGCACCAGTGAATGCTTGCAGCTAATTCTTCCTCAAGTGCCTTTCAGATGCAGAGTCGGGTTGGTAGTTTGTTGCTGTGCCCTCCCTGAACTCCTGCCCTACTAGCCTTGCTTCAGAGCTCATGATTTTGGTTGTGTTCCTGAAGCCCCCAATGACACAGACAAACGAACATGATGCAAGGAGAAGAAGCTGCATGACAGGCAAAGTCTCATCAGTTTTCTTTCCACGTTGCCCACACATGCTCCAGAACTGAACAAGAAGTGCTTGCTTCAATGACTAACTTGACATTTATTTGCTACAAGCACACTTGCAGCCGATGGCTGGCCCTGTGGTCAACGATAAATGACCTCAACTCATCACAGGTTCAAGTATCAAACTGTTTAATACATTTTTTCCCTATATCTGTGGCCAGATATTGAGCTTGGTCCTGGTATCAGGCATGAAGATGAATGTGTTCATCTGTCCACAAATAGTTCTATATAAAAACATACATGGGCTGTAACTCCAGTTAAACCAGAGTAGAAAAACACACGATGGACTCCCCGGTCCCTCAGGTAACCAGTTCAGCAGACGCAGGCTTCAGGAGATGAACAAAAGGAGCGTGCTGCCAGCACCCAGCAGCACTCTGGAACAAAGCTGTTCACAGACACATTTTCTCCACAAGCAGAAGTTGTTCAGAACTTCAGCTGGTGAACTTCTTCAAGCCAAATTTTAGGAAGCAGCAATACCGTTCTCATCGAGCTACTTCTTTGTGGTAAGGCATTTGCTTGTGGACAAATCTTCTGATCCAGTAGAGGAATCGTGCCCGTTTCCTACAGCCAACACCAGAAGAGCTGACTGTGACGGGCGGGCACCTGGGGGATCCCAGGACTTGCCTCCAACAGCCCCAGCCCAGCCACGTGCCCATCGTGCGTCGGAATCTGGAAGCTCTGAGCCCTCCTCGGTGGCAGGGCTGGGGAAGAGGAAGAGCCAGGCCCCATACCCAAAGCACTGCCAGGTCACGCTGCCGCCGTGCCGCACCCAGAAGCGGCTGCACCTCAACTGCCCGAGGAACCTGAAGGTAAGGATTGCGGAAAGCTCGGGAGAGAGAGGAGAGGTTGGTAGGAAACCAGCAGCAGGGAGAGGGAGGACTCCATGAAGCAAAATCAGAAGCTGCGATTGCACTGCTTCCCCTCGCGTGAGTCAATGAGGCCTTCCAGATCTGGAGGTGGGCAAGTATTTATACACAAAGGCACTTGGTTTAACCTAGAAAAGAACAAAGGTGCTCTCAGAAGGGGGTTTACCCTCTTGCCATACCCCTGCTAGGTTGCATTTTCTTGGGCTGGGCAGCAAAATAGGCCAGAAAAGGGTCTTTTAGGGAAGATGTGCTGGAAGATGCATGGCAGGGGATATAAAGCTGCGTCCCTATGGTTTGAGACTGGGGGAGAAGAGAGTGGATGCCAATTTGCTTTATGGAAAGAGGTAGAAATCAAGCAGACTTATGTTTATCCTATGCCAAGTATTAGTTCTATTTTAAGCCAATTAAAATATGTTTAGAGGGGGCTTTTGAGGCTGGAGATGTGTGTGGGACACAAAAACAAAGCCTCTGTGGGTTGCTGGCTTGTGAAGCCTGGGATGAAGTTTCACAAAGTAATAAATCATGAAAAGCCCACTCTGCTTCTCCTGCTGTCTTTCACCTAGGGACCCAAAGCATGTTTCTAACAGTAATGAGGCCTCAGATACTCATCACCCTCAGCTCACAGATAGGGAAACCCTCCTGTCGATTGGAAAGTGCCCAAGCCATGGCAGCAAACCTGCAGCAGAACGGGGAAGGAAGCCAGGTGCCCTCAGCCTTTCGCCTTCCTGGTTAGCAGAGCTGAAGCGCGGACGCTGAGACACGCAGAGCTGGGCAGCCCGAGCCTGCAGCACACCTGGAAACCAAAATCCAAATCAATCACTGGGGGAATCGGTGAGAATGCATCAGCCTTTTCTCATCTCTGGGAGATGTCGTGGGCAGCTGCTCCCAAAGCTTTGATCCAGTGACACTCTCTGGGCCCTCAGAAGGGTCTGAAAAGTGCAGGTGCAGTTCTGCCAGCTCCGCTGATACTCCTTCAGGAAGCAATGGACGGTGCTTTCAGAGTGCTTTTCGTGCTGGCTGAGCATCCCTGCCCATCACAGAGCTCCGATTCGCCTCCACACAGGCCAGCTAACGCGTGGGCTCGCTGAGGGTTCTGCTGTCCCTCTCATCCAGCCATAGCAGCCCCGCAGCTGCTCACAGCCCGCACGGGGAGCCCACCTGGTGCTGAGCACACAGCATCCATGTGTCGTGGAGGGTACAGGTCCGAGGGATGCCTCTGTGCAGCTGGAGCTGGACAAAATGCGTGTGGGGAGCAGAGGAAGGACTGGGGATTCGGTTTGGGGACAGAGAGAGAGAGAGAGAGAGAGAGAGAGAGAAAGAGAGAGAGAGAAAGAGATGTCTGTGCCAGCTCTAGAGGTTCAGTCTGTGCCTGTGCCCGCTGCCACCTCCCCATCTCTGCTCGTGTCAGCAGGCACAGAGCTCAGGTGTCCAGAATTCAGGCTGCTGCTGGCTGTGGGTGCCCAGGACCAGTGGCCACTGCCAGCTCCATCCTCCTCTTGCACAGTGTTTTCCTCTTCCCAAGTCTCACCACCTGCTTCCTGCTGCGATTTCTTGGCTGGAGGGGGGAAAAGTCCGGCACTGGCCTTCTCCTCCAGCCGACACTCCTTGGTTTTAATGCCCACAGCTTTCAGGATCGTGTCCATTTGCTTCATGTAGTCTAGGTGGCCCTTGACCTACAAGCAAACGAGGAGTCTGGTTAGTGGGGAAGCTGTGGGGAACCCAGCTCAATTCCAGCCTCTGTCCCAAAAGCCTCCACTGCCGTGAGATTTGGTTTCAGCTCGGAAAAGCTGAAAGAGAGAGGTCTGAACAACGCAGTCCTGCATGGAAAAACCCTAACCTTGTGGCACACGCTGCTCCTGGATTACTTTATCTTTGGGGGACGTATGTTTAGGTGCTTGGACATTGTACAAAACAGGACTCTGGGTGCCACGAGGGTAAAAGCGGAGGTGATCTCAGGGAGAGACTCGCAGGTAGGAGACGACTTGACTCAGTTCAGCTCCCTGCTCTCTGGTAAATCACATGTCCTCCCTGCGCCTTAGCTTTCTTGTAAAAGATTACCTTATTTCAATTAAGATACAGTCATTAGATCAACAGCTACCAAGTGTGTAAAGGTTCCTGGCTGGAAGCTGCTGTGAGGCACTACGTGAATGTCCACTGAGCTGTCCTTGTGGGCACCATATAAAACTGGGAGTCCAAGAGTTTTAAGTTCATAATTAAAGTCAACAGTGCACTGTTAAAAAAAACAAAACAAAACAAACAAACAAAAAAAAAAAAAGACATTTGACTGTAGGGTGATTTCTGTGATAAGATAAACCCTTCTGATGCAGCTCTTGGAATGTGTCCTTCCAGTCAGGGCACAGGAGGGAAGAGAGAAAAAAAAAACCTCCTCGGCAGTGCTAATTATTGTTGTGTGTTAAAGGCTACCTGGCTGGAAGGGCAGAGCCTGCCTCCTCTGTTTCAGGTGTCCTGCTCAAGCCACGTGTCTGAGGTAACTACAGCCAAGATCCTTCTGCAGACCAGCCTGTAGGTCTCCCTTGCTGTTCTCCTTGCAGCCAAAGCACCTTTGGTAAACTATTTCCAGCAGTTTAATTCCTTCTTGACCCAGCCAGAAAGCTGTCCCAGGCATCACCTCCTCTTATTCTGCCAAAGCTTGCCAGAAATTAGGGAATTTCCACACCCAGCACCGCAGTCGCAGTTTCCCTGGGACGGGCTGTGCTCACACGGATGGTAAGAGCTCTTGGAAGAGATTTCCAGCACACCTCTGCCCAAAGGTGCTGCAAGCCTCCTTCTCCGCAAGGGCAAAATCCAGAGCTCCTGGCCCGTTGGGTGAAGCAGCTTGTGAGCAGTAACATTTGGAGGCATTAGGACTTGGAGCAAACTAAAGGATTTAATCAGCACATTAGTAATGCAATATGTGACTTTAATCAGTCCAGATGGCTCAACGGGCTCATGATGTTTCGAACAGATTAGTTCATTAAAATAACCACCAAAGGACGAACGGACTGGCTGTTAAGATGGGTACACTGTTCTCTGAAGAAGTATGAACCTTTTACAGCCCCAGAGGGGAGCCTGGTGCTAAAGAAGGCAACAAACACAGCGCTGGACAAGGTGGAGAGAAGTGAGAAGGTGATGGACTCACCGGGAGGGGTTGCTGAACCTCTTGGTTTGCTGGGTTCGGAAACCCTCCCAGTCATCACACTCCACCTGTCCTGGCCAGTGCTTGAGGATTTGTAAGGGGCTTGTTATGTTACCCACTCAATCAGAGAGAACAAATTCCCTTTGTCACCCTAAGGACTAGATTTCATAATTCCTTGGTACCCAGCAGCTTCCACTAAAGCAAGGGGGATTCCTCTTCCTTAAGCACCAGGAACACTGAGAGGTGATGGGTATGGGCATGCTGAACAGCTGAGCCTTTCCTCACACAGCTGAAAGGGAAGCTGAGACCTCCCAGAAGTCTGCCCCTTACTGCAGATCTACTAACACCACTACATCTCCTCAAAAGAAATCACCGAAAGAAGAGCCAACAAAATTCCTTGCTACTTGCGAGCTGTGACACCCTCTTGGTGGGAAAATTCAGCACCTCCATCTCTCGAAGGCCTGCGCTCAGCTGCAGTCTGCAGGGCTGAGTGCTCCTGCTGGGGGGGCTGCGCTGGGGAAGGGATGGGAACTGCCACGCCGTTCTAAGCGACAATAAAAGCTTTAAAGAGAACTAAACGATTGCTTGAAACTTTGTCAGAGCAAAGTGCAGGAGGAACACCAAAACAAAGGGAATGAAAAAAGCACTCTTGTAACCAAAACAAATATATTGGGGCTTGTTACAAGGAAATGAAAACAGAGAGTTAGGTTTATCGGTGTGCTAAGGTGACTTCTCTCTTACATCTGCTTTTATGGTTGCTTTGACTCATGGGAAGACACAAGCCGACTGTTTATACCCCTAATTCTGCTGCAGGACTGCAGCACTGCACAGAGGGATCTCCAAAGGTCTACAGCCCACAGCAGTGTTCAGGTGGATCTCTCAATCAGCTGAAAGGAGCCATCACTGCAAACAGTCTGGAAAGGTTTTTAACATTACATCTAATCAGAAGTGTCCCAAATGTCCTTGAGCACCATCATCTGTCTCTACAAAACTCACGTGGAACTCATCTTGTTCAGTGCAGCGACTGCCCCTGGTTAGTGGCACAAAAGCACGGTTCGATTTATGGGCACTGAAACCAAACCCCCAGGCCTGAAAGCAGCCCGCTGGTGGTCTCTGCATCACGGCAAGGAGTGAGCTCGGATGCTGCTGTCTCTGTTAGTGGGAGCAGTTCCACGTGGAGAGGGACCGGTAGGTAGAAGTCTTTGCTCATTGCAGAGCCACCTGTTTTAAGATCCTGTTTGGCCGACGTAAGAAACGGCTTCTTCATTGACAGCAAGCAACCAAGGCAAAGAGCGTGGACCTGCTCTGAAGCCCAGCACAGGGGGCTCTAAAAGCTGCTTGCTTTGCAGGTCTGTGTGATTTGCAAGAGCTCAGCTGAAAGCCCCCTGGCCTTCCTGCTGCCTGCAGAGAGAGATAAAGGACAGGACAACTGGACTCTGCTTCCCTCCTGCTCTCCTTGACAAAAACCCGAAGGATTCAAGGAGAATTGCAGAGGAACAAGTGAGGAATGCAGCACGAGCAGAGGGTTCACAGGTACTCTGCACAGCAGTGCAGGTCATTGATATGGCTGAGAATTGCAGCTCTTTGACTTGCTTTGAGCCTGCTACACTCAAAAAGCAACCCTACCATGCTGGAAAAAATATCCCCAAGTTAACTTTTCTCTCCAGAGCTTCCTCATCTCAGCAGTAAGCAATGCCCATGAATGGCATCACATTTACAGGACTGCTTTCAGATAGATACTACCTGTTTTAATATAAAACATGACTTTGCACGGAGTGAGAAGAGTTAGCAGAGCAAGCTGCAGTTCCCGAGGCACAGACAATAACCACAGCTCACTTTTCAGCAGCCCTTTCTTCCCACCGGTCTGTGTGCACGTAATAAAATGCAACCTACCTCTGAGCAGCACATCGCGACGGAGCCAGCTCAGCAACGTTTGCTGTCAGTTCAGCTCTTTGCTTTGCTCTCCACATCAGACAGTGGCAGGGAGTTTGTTGTTCACAAAACAACAGTGGCAAAGGCTGCCTGATTGCAGGACTCCCAAGCCATGCCAGGTTATCAATCAAAATGCAGGCCTCTTTGCCAAAGCGGCAGGTGTCCCTGGTCAGAGTTTCTCCCACGTGTCAGCGTGAGCCTTAATTCAGAGTGCTGAGTGTGCCTTGCCTGACAGAGGACTTTCAGTCTTGCAGAACATTTCCTATCCTTTTTTCACAGCGTTTTCTGAAAGCTTACGGCAACGACCTAACACTGCTCAGCCAGAGGAACGGAGCTGGACTTGGGCACGCACACAAAAGCCGGTGGGAGAGCAGATTTCCACTATGAGCACCAGCAGAACACAAAACAAAACCATGGACAAGGCTGGGACTGAGCTAAGTTAAAACAGATGTAAAATTCCCCTGTTTTTGTTCTTTGGAAGCAATGATTTCCTGAAGTGAGGACATGAACAAGTAAGTCCAGCAGCTGAGAAACTAGAATTTAAATGGATAATTAGAAAATGTGGACTGGGCATCCGTGACAATTCCTCCTTCCCACTTAGAGGTATAACCAGCTTTAGCAATTCTGGTTTCCAGCAGAGGAGAAGCTAATTACATTTGAGGAAATCTTTATGGAGCTCAATTTATTCTGTAAAGACTGCCAATGTCATTTACGTTATTCCCCATTCATGTTTCTATTTCTGCTCTGAATAGCTGATGGAATAAAGATCAGAACATGATTCAGCCACAGCTAACAGGCCTTCCTTCTAAATCATCCCTTTGCACAATTACAACTCTTGTGAATTGAATACACTGACCTGCCTGGGAAAAGTTCTTTAATTACAGTGACATTTCTCGAGCAAGACAGTAATTTCTTCATGCAGTCAGCTGGGACGTTACCCTCAGACAGAGCTGAGGCCAATTCCACAGCAATGAAATAACTTTTACCAGTGACTTTTTCCTTCAAGCTTTGAAATGCTCTGTGGGAACGTGCCTGTGTTGACCGTTCTGAGTAAACACCACTTTTTTGCTTGGAATCGTGCACTGCAGAAAACTCAGGCAGCTTTATTCTCAGTTCACCTCTGCCAATTCCAAGAGGACTGCAGGGAGAGGAGAACCAGAATATAACGAGAAAATTGAAGAACTAAATGGGGGAAATAAGTTTTAGATGTCTGAAGCCCTGCAGGGTTGAGCAGGGAAAAGCTGTACATCAGACAGGACTGACTGGACATTAGAGGGAGCTCTGTAAGTGGAGAATTAATAAGACAGCTCTTGAAAGAGGTTCAAGGGAAAGGTACCTCCACAAATGTCCTTCTGCTGACGGGCAGTGCACTCCACACCAAGCCATCGAGCCAAAGGTAACGGCTGCTTGCGTACATTTTTAAAGTGTTGCTGTGGATTATTTCTTTTGGAGTTGCTATGGATTGTATCTTTTTGCTCGTGCTCTCACTGATGACTGCCAGAAGTGGAATCAGCTCTTCTTTGGCTGTGAGGTTTGTGTGTGAGCATTCCCAATCCTTCCAGCCGTATCAAAGTTGCAAAACATGCCACTTACTTTCAGGGTGGA